GTCACAACAAAACCTACTATTGGTTTTAATGTAGAAACTTTAACTTATAGAAATTTGAAATTGAATGTGTGGGATTTGGGTGGCCAGACTTCTATCAGACCTTATTGGCGTTGTTATTACGCTGATACTGCTGCTGTTATATTCGTAGTGGATTCAACAGATAAGGACCGTATGTCCACTGCTGCAAAAGAACTGCATTTGATGTTACAGGAGGAAGAACTACAAGATGCTGCGTTGTTAGTGTTTGCAAATAAGCAAGATCAACCGGGTGCCTTGAGTGCAAGCGAAGTTTCAAAAGAATTGAACCTGGTGGAATTAAAAGATAGAAGTTGGTCAATTGTAGCCTCAAGTGCAATCAAAGGTGAAGGTATCACCGAAGGGTTGGATTGGCTGATCGATGTTATAAGAGAAGAACAATTATAGTACGGGAACCATGACTCTCACTCGACTTTCCCGTTACTTCCACTTCCACCTTCACCTTCACCACCACCTTCCTTTCCTTCTCGAAACTAAAGAATCAAATCAAATTGTATTTTTTACTTGAAAGATAATATGCAAAAACCAATGTTTTTAAAAAATAAAAATGAAAATTACGTTAATGTAAACATACAACGACCATAAGTTCATGGAACTAATATACCTGATTCATGCAAGACTAAAATTAAACTGAAGTCAAAATATTAAAATAAACTACAATTAATTCTGTCCATTATTAATAATTAATCTACAACAATTTCTTTAACCCACCCTTATAAGAATCTCCATCCTACAATTAATATAGATCATATAAGATTAGTTAGGACTTATTGTATAGTAAATAGTATTGTTTTAACCTCAATTCATGAATAGTTCATATATATACTCATCTTATTGTATTGACAATTTAACGGCTATAACCGGAGTTTCAGCTATTATTGTATACATTGTTCAAATGACAATGACATATATATCGATTCATACGGGTAAAAGGTGTAACCCCAACAATAGATCAATATTATCCATAGATATATAATATATATATATATATGATATATATATATCGACTCGATGGTGACTACATTTAGTTAGCACATTCCTCTATTTATTAGATACATTCAAGCTCGAACTATCAAGTATCTGTCTGATATTCCAAGGAAAGGACAGCTTCATACACCCTCTAAATTTAAATTTATTCAGAATTTTAAGTTTAATAACACTGGATCTGGGACCCTATGACAGTAATGATTGAGACCAAACCAAAGATAGTAGTTCCATATTTGTATATATGGGATGTAGCAGATTCTTCAAAAGAATGGGCAGAGGTATCAGAACATGTTGAATTTATTAGATATAAGATGTCTACAAGGGAAGATTTTATTCAGTTTCTACAAACCAGTGAGATACAAGGATTTTGGGTAGCTGAAGAATTCTTTACAGTCTTGGGGAACCCAAGTGATTATTGGGATTATTTCCCTGATTCTTTAAAAGTCATTTTAGTTCCTTGGGTTGGCTGTGATTTTATTGATGGTAAACGTTTAAGGTCTGAAAAAAATATTACCTTGTGTAATATTGGACCTCATGCTGCTTCTAATGTGTCTGATTTAGCTGTCTTTTTAGTGTTAAGTTGTTTCAGAATGACATCCTACTGGGAACATTGTTTTAGAATTGTAGAAAATGGGGATATTGAGAGTTGTAAGCAGTACATTGGGGGTTCCCTCCAAGATAATAAAGAAATGTCACTCTCCAAAGGTAAAAATGAAGAGTATGTATACAGATTCCCTACGAAACCAGAATCGAGTTTCACCAATATTGCAGAAAATTACACTGTAGGAGGTAAGATCATGGATTCTCCAACCAATAAGAATGTTTTAATATTAGGGTTCGGTTCCATTGGACAGACAATTGGTAAAAGATTGAAATTTGGACTCGATATGAATATATTTTACTATAAACGTAGTGGTCCTGTCGCTAGAGATGTCCTCAATTATGATGCAACATATTGCACGTCGTTGAAAGAGGAAGAAACATGGAGAATTGCTGACGTTATTATTCTGTCATTGCCTTCTGACGATTCAACCTCAAATCTAATCAATGATCAAACAATATCAATGTGCAAAAAGGGAGTCAGAATCATAAATATTGGTCGAGGAAGTTGCATTGACGAAGATGCTCTAATTAGAGGATTAGATTCAGGTCAAGTCAATAGTTGTGGATTAGATGTTTACAAAAATGAAACTGCTCCAATTGATAACAGATTATTAAGACGTTGGGATGTCACATTACTACCACATATAGGAAGTGCTGTCGCAGATATAATACATCGTCAAACAGTTGTGACATTAGAAAATATAAAAGATATATTCATTGACGGAGGATCAGGAATTTATGTCGTCAATTAAAAAAAAAAATGGAAAACCTTCTAGGAGAGATACCATTGTGATTATTACACTCTGCACTATACTTCTACAATATTTATTCTAATTATTATTAATGTAAGGCCTAATATTTTGAAATCCAAAAAATAATAGTATAAGGTATAAATCTTCTCAAATATTGTTCCTTGATGCCAAATTTCGCAATTTTTTCTTTCTTTTTCAATCCAAATCGAAAACATAAATCAACATAAATCAATTTACCAACATTTAATTTACCTTGCTTCAATCCTAACAAACTATTAACTTTTCTTGTAATCTTCACTTCTTATCTTTTGTCTTTTTGTATGGTACACGTTAAATCAAGATTCATTAAAGTACTTAAAACGCGTAAAGATTCAAAATAAAAATATCAACACAATTGAAATTTAAACCAAACCACAACGGTAAATTAACTTGATAAAGGTGATAACAAGTTGGCACAAGGAGTTAGAGTGAGCATATAAAGGTATTCATATTGTTTGAGTGGAGAAGTATAGAATAATTTTATTGTTATCCCAAACAGAAAGAGCCAATATATTTCAATATGGATTCTTTTCCTACAACACCAGTTAATAAAATGATTTTGGGGCATCAAGAGACTTCAGATCTTGGGTCTACATCTAATGGTAATGATGGTGAATTTAAAGTTCATCCTCATGGCCTTTCGAGTAAGAAGAGGTTTGTTCATTCAGGGGTTGAGTCTGCTTCTGAAACTGATTTATCGTTAGATTGTGTTAGGAGGAGTGTCAATCCTGAAACATCTGAAAAGGCTAGAAAGGAAATATTGGATAATATGGATATTAATAAATTGTTTTCTAAATCTAGGGATGTTAGTAGTGCTGATGATATTTCCAATGGTCCGATGATAAAATTAATTCATTCTCCAGTAAAAGTGGATTTAAGTTCTCCAGTACCAGTAACCGCCAATGGAATTGACAAAGCAGAAAACGAAGAACATGTTTCTAAAAAGCCAAGATTAGAATTAGACTTTGCTCCAGACTTGAAGAAACCTATCACTAATGATAGTGAAGAAATTGTAGGATCGCCTGATGCCATTGAAATGATCGAGACTAAAAGTAGTCCAAATAAAACAGGTCAGAATGAAGAATTGCTAGCATTGGAAATTCAAGAGGCTATGAGAGTATCAATCCATGAGGAAGAATCTGAAGATGATAAAGAGGATAACAATAGCAAAGATGTTTCACACAAGAGCTTTGTTACTCCAAAGAAGGATGATGTCGAAACTTCTCCAAATCTTCATAAATTGACACCACTCTTAAGTAGCAGCAGCAGCAGTCTATCACCAAAAATGGAGTATAGACATATATGCAGTGGAGAACAAGATGAAATCGAAAAGGAACATAATGGGTTTATTTTAGTTTCAAGAAGAAATGAAGAGTTGATTGATCAACTACATATGATGAACAAAAGATTAAACAACTATCTTTCCAAATATGAAAATTCAAACTATCAGTATAAACTTTTGCGTGCAGAGCATGAAAAGGCAAAAGATAATTTTGAGAAGCAATTGAATTTAGCACAAGCTGAAGTTGATCAGTCAACTGAAGATGCTAATAAACATAAAGAGAGATTTGAGAAAATTAAGAAGAAACTAAGTGAGACAAAGGATGAAATCCAAATGCTAAATCAAAATCAACGTATTTTGCAAGATAAATATGATGGAATGGCAAACGAAGTCGATGAATGGAGAAATAAGTATGAAGAAGTCCAAGGGAAGATGGCGAAACAGGAAAATGAGGCAAATAATAGTGCATCAAAGCTGCAATTACTTGAAGATGAATTAGAAATATTGAAGAATAAATTAGATGAATATGAGGCAAGCGAAACTAAGTTAAAGCTGGATTACAAAGAGTTAGATGAACTTTTCCAAAAGAGAGAGGAAGAGTTATTTTCAAAAGCAAACGAAGTTAATACCCTACAGCAAAGCCTAAATGAAATAATGAATAGTCAAAAGAGCGCCAGTGAAGACTTAGTAAAACAGATTGAAGAGTTATCTACTTCAAAATCTCAATTAGAAGTAAAATTAAGTCAAATATCAGTCGATCACTCGAAGGAGAAACATTACCTAGAGGATAAAATTAATGGAATGGAAAAAGATCTTTCAGAAAATGTTGGAAAATTGGAAATTGCTAACCAGAAAATATCGGATCTTCAAATTAAATTAAATGGGGAAATTCAAAATTTAGCTAATTTAAAGAAAGAATACGAAGTGTCAAATGACGATGCAGAAATCAATAAGGCTGAAGTACAGCAATTAAATACCAATATTGAAGAATTAAAGGAAAGTGAGATTCATTTGAAAGAGAAAATATCTACACTGGAGGCGAATATCGAAGAATGGAAGGGAAAATATCAAGCTCAATCTAGCGCCCATGAAAAAGTATCCATAGAATTTGAAAGTTTACAATTGAAAAATAACAATATAGAAGCTGAACATTTAGCAGAATTAGAACAATTACATGATAATATGACATCATTACAAGATACTATGAAAGAAAATGCAGAGTCAATTAATAAATTAAAAGATGAAAACAGAATATTACAAGAAAAGTTATTAGCTAATGAAGAAGTGACAAGCAATTCACAAACCTCAAGTGAAGTAAAAGAACAAGAAATAAACGAATTGAAAAATAAAATAAAAGATTTCCAAGAGAAATTAGATCTTAAAGAACAAGATACAAACAAACGTTTAAAATTGTTGGCAGAAGATTTATATGTCCAATATTCTTCAAAGCATGAACAAAAAGTCAAATTATTGAAAAAAGGTTACGATACAAAATATCAATCAAAAATTGATCAAATATCATTACAAAATCAAGGATTAGTCCAAGAGATTGAACAAATAAAGAATCAACTTTCCACAGAGAGGAAAGAAAAGCAAAAATTATTAGAACTCCTAGACCAAAAATAACTTATCGTTTAATTTAGGATAACTCATCACCCCTCTTCATTCAGCCACATTCATTGTTGATGTGTATACTTTTTTTTTTACTCTTTGGAGGTTCCACAAACAGAAATGCACATAATGATGAGATCATTTAACCTAGCAATTATAGTAATTGATTTATATAATATAACAACTTGGAGTTTTACGTATATCTTTATAGTTTTTATTTTTTTTAATTACCTTTATAATACGTGATTTATTGATAATATCGCGTTATCTACTACAGCAACCAAGAATCAAAGCTTAAATAAAAAATGTATAAATTTAGTCAACTTGAGAATGTATAAAGATTTAACGTATTACAAGTATCTAGTGAAGTAGATTATTATAGTAACCAGAATATAGATATATTTTTATTGTGAGAGTGGTATTTTTGAGAAGATACTGTTTGTTTAACGGTCCACAAGTTGTTTCAATAGCATAATTTTTTAATTTTAGTGGTTTTCGTGCAACAACCAGGAAGTTATAATTTCTAGATTTGATAAAATATAATACTTATACAACACCAACAGTCATTCAATAATTTCAAGACCGCTGTATTTATCATTCGTTTACATTTTATCCTTCCTATTAACTTTATTTCAGTTTGATAACTGGTGAGCTGGAATCTTTCAATTATATTACCTGTTTAGTCAACAGTTACAGATCTGGTATCCATGTCATCTCAGAATGGTGGGAGAGGTACTTTACAACTGCTGGAGCAGTACAATGAATATATATCAGAGAAAGACAAGACTATTGAGTATATCGAGGGTAATTTAGTTATGGAAAACAAGCAACCTTCATATGATCAATTACTAAAGGAGAATATTGAACTGAAGTTGAAAGTTGACGAATATGAAAATGAAATATCGAAGTTGAAGAGATTGTTAGAAGACACTCCACGAAGTGTCGAATCAGTACAAAGCACTGTCATCATTCATAACAAGACTGATGTCAGCATTCCCCCTTCTAATCCGGATATTAAACTTTCACTGCCTATAAGATCAACTAATAGAATCAATAACGTTAATAATAATATTGAGAAATCACGTATATCACCCTCTGAGGATAAAGTCTCAAATATTGATGAACGTTTAATCTCTGATTTGAATTTTAGTCGTAACATCGACTCCTTAGCAGAAGGTAACAAGAAACCTAACATTAAATCCAAATCGAATGAGGCAGGTGCTAAACAATCTGAAAGCACTTCAGTGAATAAAACAGAAACCTTGAATTCAACAACTATATCTCCACAAAAGACTATTTCTCCTTCAAAGGAAAGGTTAGAATCTCCATTGAGAGCAAATAGAGTAATTGCTGTAATCAACAATCATATACATTCCCCATTAAGTGAAAGATATAGTCCTGAGAGAGAAATAGATTTTATTGGAGATGACTTTGACCAATTTACAGAGATACCACATCGAAGTCCAGGTAGAAAATTAAAGGATGAAGAGTTAACAAAGCAATTTGAATCATCACCATCCCATAAAGAAAAAATTAATAATTTTTCAGATATGTTAGAGAGTACGTTTTCACATCCACCTGATGATCATATAATATCACATTTAGATATTCCTAGTCCAAAAATTGGTGCTCGTCCCTTTGTTTCGCCTCCATCATTACAACCTGCTGGCACTGATGCAAAATTAGCATCTCCAGTAGTTCTTCAAAAGCCAGAAATACCCAATATTAAAGTCCCAGCACCTTCTTTTATAGAAGAATTACACACAGAAAACGTTGGGTCACACGGAACAAATTATTCTGACACTCTATCTGAAAGAAGACTTTCTACTAAATCATCCCAGAATTATTCTAGTGATATTGTAATCTCTCCAGCGATTAGTAGGAATAATGCTTCCTTTCCAGACAATTCTTCATATAATAATGTTGAATCAGATATACCCTTATTTATAGATCCAAAAGATCTAGGAAGTGTCAGGGTAGAAATATCAAGCACACTATACCTCGACCCAGATTTAAATGATCAAGAAAGAAGGATATTAATAAGTGTCATTGATAGAAAATCAGATAAGGAAATATTCAAATTTGCCAAATCAATTACAAAAATTTACCAATTAGAAGATAAAATCAAACCATTATTATCTAGCTATTCCCTACCATTACTTCCAGATAGAGGTTTATTTGACTCGAATATTCCATCAAAGGTTCATTCGAGACGTGTTAAGTTGAATGACTTTTTTACAAGTCTCTTTAGTGTTCCAGAAATACCACCTAAAATTGGTCTCGACATTGCAAGATTTATGAGTACTGATACCGTCATTAATCCCAGTTATTTCGGAGATACTTTGAAAGAAGGTTATTTAATAAACAGGAGACAGAAAACATTAGGTTCTGCATATAATTGGAGGGTACGATATGGTGTGTTTAGAGATAACTATTTAGAATTATCTGAAGCCAATGAAGTAATTGAACAGATCAATCTAAATAATTCTACAATAGAATTTGTATCAGAAAACCAAGATGACAAACATGGTACAAAACATGCTTTCCTTTTGACTGAACATAAAAAAGGTGGTTTGTCAGGAAATATCCGATACTATGTTTGTTGTGAGACAAGAGAGGAAAGAGATTTATGGGTACATACGATAAAGAATAACTTTGGATCAAAAACAGATGAAAAAATAAATAATACTTCCAAGCAGCACGTTGTCACACCTACGGAATCATCACAACAGACAGATAGCAGTAATGACCATTCAATGTCTCATAGTAGTCGAAGCATAGTTTCTTCACCATCGAGGTCAATGGAAACTCCAGAGAGTGATAAGGATCAACGTAGATCAAAAAGGGGCTTCTTTCCCTTCAAAAAGGGCGCTAATTTTGTTGGTGTACTATCTGACACAATTGATCACGCCTTTGCTGACGAGCCAGATGTGAAACATAACTTATCCAATGAAACTAGCATCATGTCTTCACCTAAATTACCAAGCTCATCCTATAAAAATGTCTTTGGAAGTCCACTGGATGTTGCATTATCTATAAGTTCACATACACTACAAGGAAAATATAAAATTCCTAGTGTTGTGTATCGTTGTCTAGAGTACTTGTATAAAAACGGAGGATTGCATGAACAAGGTATTTTTAGATTAAGTGGTTCAAGTGCAATGATAAGAACCCTCCAAGAGAAATTTGATAGGGAACATGATGTGGATTTATACAACTACAACAACCGAAATGAGGAAGATAATTTAAATTCAGAGCTGCATACAACAGGATCTGTGGACATAAATACAGTTGCCGGTCTATTAAAATTGTATCTCAGAAGTTTACCTCATTTAATTTTTGGTGATAATAATTATACTGCATTTAGAAAAGTTGTGGAGAATAGTAATAATTCATCTGAAATTGCATTCAAATTCAAGGAGATTGTTAACGGTAAAAGCATTCCGTCTTCACATTATTCTTTGATGCATGCTTTATTCGAAGTACTTCTACGTATTAGCGAGCTTAGTGATACCAATAAAATGAACGTCAAAAATTTATGCATCGTTTTCTCACCTACACTAAACATCCCAGTTAATATTTTACAACCATTTATTGTCGATTTCGCATGCATATTTAATGGCGGAGAACCTGTCTCTGATTCTTCCAGGGAACAAATTGATGTCAATATCCCACAATTGTAAGATCATCTGTCTAATTAAGCAATATCCTTGACTTAGGTTCAGAGATATTGATACTGTAATATAAATTCATAACACATTATAAACGTTCCTGCATTTCATAAACAAATTTTTACAAGATTAAATACAAATACTTACGTTTATATAAATAAAATTCTATTGTCTTCTTTTTTTCAAGACATTTTCGATAAATGATTCACCAGCTTTATATGAAGATCTAACAAGTGGCCCTGAAGCACAGTATAAAAATCCCATTTCCAAAGCTTTCTCCTTCCAGTAATTGAATTTTTCTGGTCTTACATATTCTACAACTTTCATATGTCTTCGAGTAGGTCTCATATATTGTCCAAAAGTAACTATATCACAATTTATCTCACGAAGGTCCTTTAATGTCTGAATAACTTGATCGTCTGTTTCACCTAAGCCTAACATTATCGAAGTTTTTGTTAAAACATCCGGACTAACCTTTTTAGCTCTTTCTAAAACATTTAACGATTGTCTATAAGTAGCTCTTCTATCTCTAACATGAGGAGTCAACTCTTCTACAGTTTCCAAATTATGAGCATAGACGTCAAGCCCACTATTGGCCATAATATCAACCATTTCTAAATCACCTCTGAAATCACCGGAAAGAGTCTCGACGAATGTCACTGGTGATTTTTCCTTTATCAGTCTTACAGTTTCTGCTAAATGCTTTGCACCACCATCAATCAAGTCATCTCTGTCAACAGTAGTTAATACGACATAGCCCAAACCCCATCTTGAAATTGCTTCTGCTGTATTCATAGGTTCCAGTGGATCTGGTTTAGCTGGTGTCCTATTTGTCTTAACGGAACAAAATCTGCAACCTCTTGTACATGTATCACCAAGTAACATAATTGTAGCTGTAGCTTTTGATTTGTCAGAACCACCCCAACAGTCACCGATATTTGGACATCTTGCCTCTTCACAAACTGTACTTAATTTTAACTCCTTAACATCAGTCTTCAATTTATGATAATTAAGACCCTTTGGAATAGGCACTCTTAACCACTCAGGTAATCTTTTAGCTTCCTCTACATTTTGCCTAGCCTTCTCTAATGGATCTAATTTAAAGTCAGCAGCACGACCTTTTACAAAATCTTCAAAGGAGGGCCCTTTGTTTAGAGAATCTGAAAGGATGTAGAACGTCTTCTCTTTGTCTGTATCCCTGGAATGCTTGCACTAGCAACTTTGGAACCAGTTGACACTGATCTAAAGTTCAAATCAACCTTGATTGCTCTCAAGTTGCTCACACGATTCCTCAACATCTTAAAAACCTAATTGCAACGCTATCTCTTCAATAACACCCACTTTAAGATCACTGGAATGCTCTATTACAGACTCCAATGCTCAATAACTACTGTTTATATATATATATATATATATTCCAATAGGTTATTGGCTTCCATATATATGTTAATTCATCGAACCTTTAACTTTGCTTTCTGAATAAGAAAGAAGTCAAGTTTTATATCTAATAATATCGAATCATTAAGACGGCGCTAGCACAAATAGTCATAATGGTATCTAAATAAAACTGGCGACAGCATGAACTGAACCAATCGAATCCAATCCAATACAATAAGAATAACGACAATATAATTCTTTAATCAATTATAACAGAATTTAAATATAAAGTTTACAAAATTGTTTGGCACACGTTCATTCATGCCATCTATATACGTATCTAAAGTTGTTGGATATACAAATGCAGATTTAATAGATTATAATACAATGATATTTGAGTTGATAGGAAATCGATCAATGTAGAATAAATTTGTAATGATACTTATCCAAATTTTACGAAAAAATATATGCAACGATACTCTACGATGGCCAGTTTGATAATTGCAGTATTTTATTCTATTTTCTTGAGTTGTTTACCATCTTCCTCCACTTCTAGTAGAATGTTTTCTGGTAGTACCAACATGAGATATCATAGAAATATCACTGTCATCAAAGTTCAATATATTTGAGTTTCGATTAACTCTGATATTTCTTGAAGTTGTACTTGATGGTATCCTTCTATCACTATTGGATAATTTTTTAGTACCGTTTTTATGTCTGCCACCATTATCGTCATCTTCATCTTCATCGTGATTATTTTCAACAATCTCCAAAGTCTCTAAATGCCTGGAAATATCATCAATTGTAATATCTTCCACTGTACGATTGAATGTCTTATTCAATTCTTCATCATAAATATATTCTTCATCTTCTTCATCACTAAATAATTCTTGTTCCACGAATGGGACTTCCTTGGCTGCTTCTTTGGGGACATGTTGCTTAGCTTCATGTCCCTCTGTCTTCTTTCTCGATTCACGTTCAGATTTACGAGATGGTGGTACATGTTCACTTTCCATTTTGATATGATTGAGTTCATTTGTTTGTGATCTTGTAACTCTCTGAGGCTTTAGGCTAGGATAACCATATTTATCGTTGACCTCAGTTTCCTTCTCATGGAATAGAACATCTTCAAATTCATTTATCATTGATCTACCTAACTTGATGACTTCTTCAGCCCATATTCTAATTACGTCTCTCGATTTCTTAGTTTTGTATGGTTTCCAATGAGGTTTACAGCCACGAACAATTTCTTTGACAACTTGTTCAGATCCCCATTCTTTTATCCAATTTTGATTTTGCAAACCAATTAAATGAGAAAATACACCAGACGCAATAGCCTTATCAGAATAACCACCTTCCATGATGGAAAGCACCTTACCATGGCAATGAATTTGGGATAGTTTTAAAGCATCTTTGGTAAACATAGTATAAAAATGCGTCGGAACATTAACAGAATGCCTTTGCATTGATGTTTGCTCAAACTCAGAAGCATCAAATCCTGCACTTATAACAACTAAACCTTGGAATGGTTTACCTAAAGCGTCCATTTCTTCTTTAGCATTTCTGAAGAATTCATCAGCTTTAGCAAACAAAGTTCTGTATTTGGTTTGGTATAATTTATCAAAATCTTGTTCAGTTTCCCAAGGCGATAAGTGAATATTCCAAATGTTTACGTCATGAGCATTCATAACACAAGTAGATGCATTTCTTATATTTTCCTTAGTAGCATATTGTGATTCAGTGGGGAAAGAATTTATATCATGCATTGAGAAGTAACCAACTTTTGGAAATTCAGCAAATTTCTTGCCAAACTCATCATATCCCTCAGTGGTTTCAGGTTCAGCTTCAGTACGGAAACCTGCACGTTTCCAACATATATCTTGAGTACCATCACCATGGTGCAAGTCAAAGTCCAAGATGACAGCATGGGTGATACCATAAGTGTCAGATGCATATTCAATTGCAATGTGAGCGTTATTCAATAAACAAAACCCTGAAGGTGTGTCCACATGACAATGATGACCAGGAGGTCGTATTGCTACGAATGCTCTATTACTGATGTGGTCAGGAGAAGGCCCACTAAAGATAGAATCCACACCAGTTTCTAAAGCGCCAATAGAACCCTGTAAAGCCTCAATAGTACGAGAACTTAAATATATATCACCGGCATTCCAAGAAGCAGGAACTTCAATCTCACCTTTAGCCAATTTTTCATCAGCTTTTTGACATAATTTTACAATTTCATTTGGCCATTTTGTACCATGAATCTTAACCACATGAGGAGCATTTAAAGAACCCAGTCTTTGACTTGACGATTTCAAAGTGAACAGCGCAGGATACATTGTAATTGCAGCTGAAATACCCATTGAACTTGCCAATAGACGTTCTGGTCTTTCGACAATAGTTTTCTTATATGATTTGGCAACCCAATCTCTTAGGAACACATGCTGTAAGGATAATGGTGATAAAACTACCACTGCCTTAGCAGATTCCGGAATTTGTGAAGCAGCTCTTGCGGCTGATATTACATTTGGATTATTCTGGACAAACGATTGGAATTGCTGATGGAATTTATGCAATGGATCTTGTGTTGAAGACATGTTTGTTATAAATTTTTTTATAATGAAATAGAAGTATCTAGCAGAAGTAAATTTCCTTTTAATTGATAGTAATAGTATGAATGAATTAAAACTATTATATATCCAGGAAATTCGAAAAAGTTAATATTGATAGATAGAAAATAAATAGTTTTGAATGCGTGTTAATTAGTATCGACCAGCAATATATTATGGAAGAAGTGCTGTATATATGTAGATATATATATTTAATCCACAACGAATATTTAAATATCAATTAATGTATGCAATAACGAATAAAAATACAATCAAATAAAATAAATAATACCAAAAGATAAGGAATGAAGAAATTATTCAAGTATCAAACTAATCAATCTGACCATATATTATTTTTAAAAGACACCAACTAAAAATAAAAATATTCTTTTCTCCAATACAATCCTACAGAGATATATCTTTATCTTTATCTTTATCTAAGTCTATGTTTATATTTGTATTTATATTTGTATCTATCCTTTAGTGACACACTACTGAGTTACCAAATTATAATAATAGAAGTAGAATAAATCAACAAATATGATTAATTTAAGCCTAATCTAATCCATATAAACATTGTTTACAAACTTTTTATCTTCATAAAATTCAATACACGACCCTTGCATTAGTTACCTGTTCAAAGTTCAAACCACGAATAATTTGAAAAGTTGATGCAATTATTTACATGGGCCAAAATCGAAAAATAAACATAACATCATATGCCTCGTTTCTAGTGATCACCATCTGTCTTTTTATTTCGAAACCTTTTTCGAGTTTCGAATTCTACATTCTTGGCGAAGAAACTAGCGCAGAAGCATGATGGAATATAAGGTTTCGAGACAGATTCGAACTTGGTTTTAAGCATACCAAAGAGTATTATTGATTCTTGAACATCGACCTTATTCTCATTCTGGGATCACTGAATACCAACCCAGATGGAACCTATCTTGTTAGCTATTATCTACAATATCTTTGACTACCTATGGATTGCATTTGTCCCGTTGGTGAATGGGCTATGACGTTGCAGCATAGTTTTTCGAAGATCGTTTGTGTGAATAACCCTCGCCGTTTATGCTGGAAAAAGAAATCCTCGAGGGTGAGACAGAGATATATCCTCACAGCAAGAGATCATAGGGTAAAAAAAAGGTAATGAAAGAGATCAGGATATTGAAAAGTATATAAGTGAAGGTATTTATAAAAAAGCCCCGTTTTGACTTCAATTATTTTTTGGTTTAAAAGTGGTAAGACCTTGTATTTTTGTATAGGGTGACAATTCAAATTTTTACAAATCAAAGCAATAATATTTCAAGATGTCAAATTACGGCCAAACAGGATATGACAACGGTTACAGTAGACCTTCCAATCCACCACCTCAAAGGGGTGGCTATGACAGACAGGACCAGTCCCAGTATGGATATGGTCAAGGCCAACCACAGTACGAAAGACCTGGTGAAAACAGGGATGGTTATGGTAACAGACAAGAGTCTGACTACGGTAGACAAAACGATGATTACGGTAGAAGACAAGAATCTAGCTATGGTAGACAAAACGATGATTATGGAAGAACTGAAGATTCTTCTGTAGGTAGAAAGAAAGATGGGTATGGTAGGAGAGACGAATCTAGTTACGGTAGACAAGAATCTGGTTATGGCAGAAAAAACGACAGTGACTACAGTAGAACAGAAGATTCTAGCTATGGCAGACATGAATCTGGATATGGAAGACAAGAATCTACCTACGGTAAACAAGATAATGACTACAGCATTAAGTCTGAATACGGTAGACAAGATAATGACTATAACAAAAAATCTGACTACGGTAGAAAACAGGAATCTAGCTATGGCAGACAAGACAATGGTTATGGTGACCAGTCTAGTTATGGAAGAAAAGATGATAGTTACAATAAGCAACAATCCAACTATGGTAGAGATGATGATAGCTACAGTAATAAATCTAAATATAACAGAAAAGAAAACGAATATGATAATAATCAAGGTTCATACGGTAGCAACGTCAACAATGGAAGACAAAGCGATGATTATGGTAGAAAGTCAGATAATTACAACAATAGTAACTCTAATTCAACAGGCCAAGGTGGTTATGAGAGACCATCTCAACCTCCTCAACAAAAGTACCAAAGACCTACCCAGCCACCTCCATCAAATTCTAACAATGGCTATGGTCAACAACAGCAAACCCAACAACAGCCACCTTCTCAAAATCAACAATATGGGGGCTCTCGTCCACCTAGAAGAAAGGCTTTGTTAATTGGTATCAATTACATTGGTTCAAAACACCAATTGCGTGGTTGTATTAACGATGTAGCTAACATCTATGCCTTTTTAACCCAACGTTACGGTTATAATCCAGATGATATTGTGAGATTAACTGACGACCAAAAAAATATGGCGTGTATTCCTACCAGAGCAAATATGATAAGAGGCATGCAATGGTTAGTCAAGGATGCAAGACCCGGTGATTCTTTGTTCTTCCACTATTCAGGACACGGTGGTCAAACTGAAGATCTTGATGGTGATGAAGAAAACGGTTTTGATGAAACCATTATGCCAGTCGATTTTGAGACCCAAGGTGTAATTATTGATGATGTCATGAACGAAATTATGGTCCAACCTTTGCAACAAGGTGTCAAAATGATTGCATTGTTTGATTCATGTTACTCTGGTTCTGTTTTAGATCTTCCATACACATACTCAACTAAAGGTTTGATCAAGGAGCCAAATTCTTGGAAAGAAGCAGGTAGCGGTGGCTTACAAGCCGCTATGGCATACGCTTCTGGTGACCGTCAAACTATGATGCAATCCTTAGGAACTTTAGCATCTTCCTTTTCCAGTGGTCTAAAGGGACCAGATCGTGAGAAACGTGAAATGAACAAACAAGTTAAATCATCACCTGCTGACATCATTATGTTCTCTGGTTCAAAGGATAATCAAACATCTGCAGATGCCATTGAAAATGGATTTGCTACTGGTGCCATGTCCTATGCCTTTATTAAAGTTTTGAGTGCCCAACCTCAACAATCATATTTGACAATGTTGCAAAGCATGAGACAAGAAATGTATGAAAAATACAGTCAAAAGCCACAACTATCTTCTTCACATCCAATTGATGTCAGTCAACAATTTGTTATTCAGTGATTGTGTATTATCTCCATATACTGGGAGTATATGGATAATCTTTGAATATTTATTGTTATCATTATTATCTTTGTCATAGTCTCCATATATAATTAGTATTTTATTTTATTTTAACTTTATCTAAATACATACTAAGTGAAAGAAAATTGAATACTTTTCTTTTTTTTATGTGTATAAATAAGTTGGAATAGTTAAATATTGCCAAAATTAATTACTCTTATTTGTAGTTTGTCCCTTTCCTGAATTGTTGATCCTCTTTTGGTTATTTTTATTCGATAACTTTTCAACAGCATCAGCGGTAACTTGTTCCATTTGTTTTGAGTAATCAGATTCCATTTTCTCAATTTGATTTTGAACTTTATTAATATTCTTCTCAGTGACTTCAATTTGTCTTTTCTCAAAATCTTTTAATTTTTCCCTTAATTCTTCGATGGTTCTCTTTGTTTGATCTTTATTTACTGGTATTGAGATATCCAAAGTTGCCAAAGAAGTGATTAAAGTAGGTTCCAAAGAAAATTTCTCTTTGTTTGCAGATTCGGTATTTAAGGATTCTTGAGAAGACGAAGAAGAAGGTTGATTTTGCTTTGATAATTTTTTTGATTTTGAAGGTGCTGTATTATAATGTTCCAATTCATATTTATTTTCCATTGGTTCCAAGTCTTCATCTACAGTTTTTTGGCCTAGCTTGTTTAGATCTGTGTTAGATTCTGAATTGTTAAAGATTATATTCTTTGGTAAATGATAATCTTCATCTAATGCTAGTAAACAAGTTTGGATATTTTTAATCTCTGATTGGAAAGCGGGAGTTTTAGCCTCTAGTAATTTTTTATTTAGATCATCTAATTTTGATAATTTTTCCTTTTCCAATTCTTTTAATTTCGAGTTTTTTTCATTTTCTATAGTTAATTCGATATTTTTTTTATTAAACTTCTTTAAATCTTTATCAAAGTTTGAGTTTAATTTATTAATTTGTTTCAATAACTCGGATTTTTCTTGGTGTAATTGATGAGTCTTGGAGAAGATTTCGAAATTTTTTCTTTCTTTCAATTCAAATAATTTTGATTTATCTTCGATCATTACTGAACTTTTTTTATCCAGTTGAACTTTCAATTCTCTTAATTTATTTGCATGCAGTTGTTCTTTTAAAGAGGCTAGTTCAGCTCTATCTGATTCGATTGAATCCTGAATTGATTTGATTGGAATTAACTTTTTCTTATGATTTTGTAAGGATTGCAATTCCAAAGATAATTTTCTTTTTTCGACTAGTGTTAGATCCTTATCTGTCAACTGTCTTTTCGTTTCAACGATCTTTGAGTCTACAGAGTCTACAGATAAATCTTCGTTATTTTTAACTAGCATGGACTTGATCTCAGCATTTTTACGTTTAATTTCAATCTCTTTATTTTTAATTTTGCCATGGATATCATCTCTATGAGATTCTGAATGAAGAACTTCTCTGTGTATTTTTTGAAACTCCTTTTCATTCGATTTGACTAACTTTTCACTCTGTTTAATTTCTTTTGAATTTGTTTTCATCAACTTGTCCAAAGTTTTCAATTCAGAATCGATAGAATCGATTTTTTTCTTCAAGGGTAAGATTTCAGCATCTCTTTTCTTCTCATCAGGACGAACAAGTGACATTGGTGTAAACTTTTTATATGAATTATGAGACTCTTCTGTCAACCTCAGTAAACTCAATACAGCCAATAACCCCCTGAAATACAGTAGTCTTATTATGTAAATCCAGTATTGAGATGTATATATATATATATATATCTTTTAAAGATCAGTTTTGTATGAGTTGTCCCTTTTCGAATTTTTCAGAAGTTGGCAATTTTTTTTCAAATTCTCGAATTTCGCTTCAATTACCCGATTAGGCAAAACATCGAATTTTTTCATTTCGAACAGCAAAAAATCGAACAAGAGAGAGACAGGAAAAAGAAAAGAAGAGAAGCTGAGAATTATACCCATTGCAAGAGTAACAAAGAGAGTTGTGCATATCCCAAGTCCCATGGACTATGGATGTGTAACTGTTCTTATACTAGTATTTCAGAAATATGGAAAAGGACAAATACCATACCATACCAAACTCAGTGGGATAAAACCAACCCAAACTACAACATAATACCATTCATTTACTTGTAGTATTACATCATAACTTGCATCCAGATCCCAGTTTGACATATACTTCTATGGATATACCTACATTACGTTACATTACAATGCAATTCAATCATATACAAACACATAGATAAACCATACATCACTAGCAACGACGTAAATTAATCCATTTTATCGGTTTGCCACAACGATGATGAGCCCAAAGATTTCAACTTCAGATTTGGAAAGGAAACAAAGGAAATTGTCTGAGGTTTGGATAGCAAAATAGTAACAAGTGACAACAAAGTAGATGAATCAAGTCTTTAAAGGTATCTTGAGACTTTTAATTTGTATAAAGTCTTTGGGTCTTTTTCTTGTTCCTTTGAGAGATATTTAACGGGATTATTTAAATATCTGTATATTTGTATGTGTATTATACATCCATTTTTTATATCGTTGTTTAAGGTTTTGATTTAAGATTTGGGCTTTATATTTATTTTTGTTTTTGCTTTTGCTCTTCTTTCTTGGACTATCTGCTGTGCAATTCTTGGTTTTCTAATCATTTGATAATTAGAAAGAGAAAGTGAAAGAGAGGAAAGAGGTATAAAAAAAAATTTTGGAAAAATTCAAAAAATTTATAAAAATTTTTTTTCTTTTTGTATTGTTGCTACTGCTGTTGCTTAATTGTTCGTAATATAGTTTTTTTTAACAATTAAACACAGCTGCATTGAAACAATCTTATATATACATATATTTATTTACATTTATATATATATATATATACAAACGTCGTTAGCTCAACTAAGCATTATTGTTAACATTTTTCAATATTGTGTTCGAAATTCAAGATTGAGATTTAAACACAAGAGGCCTATAACAATTGCAGAATTATAATGTCCGAATACGCAAAATTAGTCGAAGGTTTATCTGCAGATGATATCTTGGAAGAGTTCCAAGAGGTCATCCCTTTGCAAAGAAGACCAAACACTCATTCCAGTAGTGAATCCAATGGAAGCAACCAAGATGATTTGTTTTCTGGTCACGATGAAGAACAGATTAGATTGATGAACGAAAATTGTATCGTTTTGGATTGGAATGATAATGCCATCGGTGCAGGAACTAAAAAATTATGTCATATAATGGAAAATATCAATAAAGGTCTGTTGCATAGAGCATTTTCCGTCTTCTTATTCAATCAAGAAGGTAAATTGCTATTGCAACAAAGAGCTACTGAAAAAATCACTTTCCCAGATTTATGGACAAACACCTGTTGTTCTCATCCTCTATGTGTTGATGATGAAATAGGTTTAAAAGGTACTCTAGATGATAAGATTAATGGTGTTATCACAGCAGCAACAAGAAAATTAGAACATGAATTGGGTATCCCACAGAATGAAACTACTCAATTCGGTAAATTCCATTTCTTAAATAGAATTCATTATATGGCTCCTTCAAATGATCCTTGGGGTGAACATGAAATCGATTATATCTTATTCTATAAGATCAGTGACCAAAATTCTCTAACTGTTGCTCCAAGTCCAAATGAAGTAAGAGATATTAAATGGGTTACCGCCGCAGAATTAAAGGCAATGTTTAACGATACATCTTTGAAATTCACCCCTTGGTTCAAACTGATCTGTGAAAGTTACTTATTCCAATGGTGGGATAAATTAAACGATTTATCAGAAGTTGAAAATGATAAAAAAATTCACAGAATGTTGAAATAATCAGAATTTTGTTTTTTCTCCCTAATTCCTAATAGAAATTCTTCAAACTATTTCCTACAATTTACAAACATAGATATCTCATATTTTCCAATGCACTACATCAAACCTCTATAAATTATTATAAAGAACTACCACACGCATACAAAAGTATAAACAAATCTAACAATTTTATATTTAATCTATCGGATTCTACCTATCGAAGTACGTGGAATCAGATAAATTCGTGCAACACATCTAAATAATTATTTAATTTACAAAATATATCATTAAAAAATTATACATACAGCTTAATACATCTATCAATTACCATCTCATCTTAGAGGTCTCTTGCTACTGTTCCAGCTGATCGATCCATTCCCATTATATTAAGATTGAGTATAAAATTATGTCACGTGGTTTTCTTGATAATCAAGGAAATATTATTTTAAGATGACTCAATTTTATTCATTCTTAAGTATATATAAGAACCAATAGCTGATTTGGGAAAGTAGCAAGACCCTTTTCAATTGTTGGATATATAGATACTGATTCAAAGTTGTACCAACCTAATATAGAAATATTCTAATGTCTGAACGTAAGGCTTTCGTGAAACGTATCACCAATGAAACTAAGATCCAAGTTGCCATATCGTTAAATGGTGGTTACATTGAAATGCCAGAATCAATACTGAAAAATAAGGCTAGTATTAGCAATGACAATGTTGCTACGCAATCCACAAATTCTCAAGTTATTGATATTCAAACAGGTGTGGGATTTTTAGACCATATGATCCATGCTCTAGCTAAACATTCTGGTTGGTCCTTGATAGTCGAATGTATAGGTGACTTACATATTGATGACCATCATACAACAGAAGATTGTGGTATTGCACTAGGTGAAGCTTTTAAAGAAGCATTAGGTGCAGTTCGTGGTGTCAAACGATTTGGTACTGGGTTTGCTCCCTTGGATGAAGCATTATCCCGTGCTGTTGTAGATTTATCAAACAGACCGTATGCTGTAATTGATTTGGGTTTAAAAAGAGAGAAAATTGGTGATCTTTCTTGTGAAATGATCCCTCATTTCTTGGAAAGTTTTGCTGAATCTTCTAGAATTACTCTGCATGTAGATTGTTTAAGAGGTTTTAATGACCATCACAGATCAGAAAGTGCTTTTAAAGCATTGGCTATAGCTCTAAGAGAAGCAATCTCTTCAAATGGTACAAATGATGTTCCTTCCACTAAGGGTGTTTTAATGTAAACTTAATTTATTTACTTCTTATTAAAACAAATCATTCATTTTTAACTACCTACAATTTATTTAAAGTGGCATATTTAAAAAGAATATAATAGACATTTTAATTAATTTCATAATCAGTAAGATGATAGACAAATTTGTTCGTTAGAAAATGTTGCCAATTTAACAGGGTCAATATGATATGATAAATTTTTTGATCTTGAATTATTTTTTTAACGTTTGGTTGTCAGAATTAAAATCGTAATAAAAGTAAAACATCAAGAACAATATAGTAAAAACCCCCAAAAAATTGAACTGAAATCTTCTTTTTAACTTCTATATAATCGTTGAAACATTAAATATCAATACTGTATATAATTAATTCACTCTAAATGAGAATTCTTACTTACACTGTTGACCTCGACAATCGGCTAGAAGAGTATGCTAATAACCATTTAATATTGGTGAGCACTAACTTCATTGCCGTAGTCCATTCCAGGTTTGGTTTACTCCCAAATAACTTTACAGATATATTGTTAATCTTATCCTTAATCATTTCATATGGCAATTCTATTTCTTGACTTGAAGATATCTCTTGATTTCCCGACGTAGCAGTGGTCAGTTGGCTTTCGGTAATATTAGAATTGGTCAAATTAACACACAATTGGTGTATAATAGTTAATAAACATTCCAAAGATTTATCAAAATTAGTTTCACGACGGAAAAGTCTCCCAACTTTAAAATTTTCATCATTATAAGCTTCAAGTGCTATCCAATCTTGAGTGTCATTATCAAATTTAGCTATTTTCGAAAAGGAACCCATAGGCTGTAAACGATATCCATCTAATTTAAAATTGAGCCTGGTAGAAATAGTAGCTAAAAGAAGTATCACTTGTCCTAATGCAGCGTTAATTTCATCCCAAGGAACTGGTACATCATCGAATCCACCAAGCCGTAGACCATTTATAGTACCAAATGGTCCTTCATGGGATATTTTAAAAGTTTCATTATATATATTAATCTTCCTTAACGTATCTAATCTGTTTAATGCACTCTCATATTGATTATTTAATGACTGAACTTCTTTAGCAAATTGCATTCCTTCTAGATCTTTAATATTATTATTCTCTAGGATAATATCTTCTTTTAGTTTCTTCTCTTCTAAACGATGCTCCAGGCTACTAATCTCTTTATCTAACCTTTCGTCCTCTTCTTCCAGTTTAATTAATTTCTTAAGCAGCGAATCTCTTTCCTCATCTATAAGTTTTTGTTCCTCATCAATTGATTTATTATTGTTGGAATCAAAAACCTTCTTCTGTTCTTGTAGCTGATTTAGAAATTGATTATAGGTATCTCTTTCTTTAATCGTTTCATCATACTGTGATTTAAGTCTTTGGATAAGCCAGTCGCAACAGTCTTGACATACCGGATAATCAATACTACTTTTGGCAGATAAAATATTAAATAAATTTGACAGAACACTTACATGCGTAGATAAAGTTTTACTTGTAGAGTACTCTTGTTTCACTGTAGTCCCAGAGTATTGCTCATCTCCAGATGTTTCCATATTAGAAACATAAGGGTCTAGTGCGCTCTGAAAAGATTGAGTACCATTAGCAGTACTATCTTTCAATAAAACAAAAGAATCTCCTAAATTTGCATTCTGGAACTTCAAATCACTATATTTATTCACTTTGGATAACCTCTGAAGTCTATCATTAGGTATCTTTATACTTGATTTCGGCAGACAACTTGTTGAATTTACTATTAAATTTCTTTGAGCTAAACTTAAATCTAATAATGAAGTATCAATATTTAAGGGCAATTGACAATTTTGACATTTGAAAATCGGTTCATCTTGTTCATTCATACTCGTAGAATACCTTTATCCCTTCTTAGCAACCGCCTTCTGTAATTATATTCATTTACCTTAATCCTTTGATTAATTTGAAGTTGATACTTTAAATATCTTCTTATTTCTTCTCGCTCAGCTGAGTGATGAGATGAGGCCATCAGCAATTAAAAAGGAAATTTGAATATAATAGACTGACAGCAATGTCAAAGATGTCTTAAATAATAAATATTTACAAGAATTAGATTAAAATGCTTAAATTCTAAATAATTTTAAAAAAATCTGTGTTTAAGTTCCGAGTTTTTAGAAGGAATAACTATTAATTTTGCAAATAATACGTTCACCATTTGTAATGCCAGTATAAGTTCGGTGGAGTATCATGTTTATTGCTAACAACTTCTAGTGGGTCTTCTTTTACTAGTCTTCTAACAGATATTTCATTTTCAGTACGGTCTAAATACATTTCTCTTATTTTAGCAAATGTATCTTCTTCATTAGGGTCCATTATATATGTCGAACTTACTAATGGTCTTCCTTTGGGACAACTTGAAATTTTATTCTTTGATTCCGTATATTGGACATAACCTTCTTCAATTAGTTTCTCTAGAGGTTCTCTAATGCACACTGAGATTCCCTTAGGTACCCAAATCTCGTATAGACCATTGAATGAATATCTACCGGTGGATCTTAATAAGATGTAACCTATATCTTTGAACACAATTTCGATACTGCCTTGAAATGGAGGGATTACATGTCTTTGATATTTAGTAATGTCACAATATTCATCATTTATACCACAGTATTTTTCCAATGGATGAGGAGTATCGTTGCCATATACTGATTTGAAAGTTTCTAAAGCTCTTGTTACATTCTTGAAAATATATGGTTCACCAGGAATGAATTTAATAATCTGATTTATTGAATACGGTGGAGGCTGTAAAAAAAATAGACCACCAATGGTATAACATCTACCATTTTCAGTACCTTTTATGGTTATATATGGTTTTTTCTTTACTTTTTTAGTGTCGAATAAATTGGTTTTTCTGACCCATTCTAACCAGTTAGACTTAACTATTCTTTCAAGTGGTAGCTCATCTACATTTTCACTATAACCTGGTAGATCATAGATACGCTTCTTATCAACTTGGTATCCTTGGCACTCCCTTGTAAGATTTGGTATATGAGAAACACCTGCTAGCTGAGCTTTTCTTAAATGTTTATGTTGGGCGTCGTTAACCATATCGTCACTGATATTACTGTTAAAATCCAGCTTGGTACCATTATATCTTTGAATCAATGAGTTCATCAAAGTAGATTTACCAACGTTTGGATTTCCAAGAAAGTATGAATTGTTCCTCAGGTTCGATAATAAGCCAGATAAGTTCCATTTTTTCAAACTCGAGACAGCTAGTACTTTGTTAACTTGCAAGCCTAGATGGTATTTAAAGTAATCCTTAAAGAAAATCGGTAATCTTGTGGAAGTAGCACTGCTTGTTTTGAGAACCTGATCTGCCTTAGTAAAGACTAATACTGATTCTTTTTCATTTTCTAGGATATTTTTATTTACATGAAATGGGAATTCTGGTAATGATGCAATGCTTACAATCGGCTTATCATTGGGAACAGATCGTATAACTTCCTTTAATGAACAGTTCTTGAAATCCATTACATCGTACTTATTTTGATGCACCGCATCTGAACAACGTTTACAAATCAGTGAATGGGGTATACGATTTTTTTCGTCTTCCAATGTAGTTCCATCTTCAATTTCCTTAATTTTTTGTATATCCTGACTAAAAAGCATATATTTCACATCCTCCAAAGTCTCAACCTTTCCAACTTCTAGAGGCTTAGGTTTCGTGTAGTACCCAATCAAAGCTGGATTCTTAGATTGCAATTTAATGCCACATGAACTACAAGCTTGTAACCAAGCTATTGAACCTGAAAATTGCCTTCTAGATTGCTGAAAGACGATAGATCTTCGAACAACAAACATCAAGAGACTTCTTGTAAGCAGATTCCCACAAATATTAACCTATTGATCTAGTTACCGTGTTACTTATCAACTTTGAAGGGATTTCATCTCATCTCATCTCATCTCATCTCATCTCATTTAATTTCTTTATATCGAATAATTTTTCATTTTTAATCTCAGATTTCGCTGTTAGTTAGCTAAAATATGTCATAAATTAACAGCTTTTCGTAGAGGGAACAGAGGGTACAATAGAAGAGTTAACGTAAATGATTATATTGAAATAACCGCTGCCTTAACTATCTTCAATACCAATTTCTTGTTTGAAGCTGTCCCAAGAAATAAACTGTAAGATCGGTTTTTCTCTTATATATCAATTTCAGCTAAACCAACACGGCTAAGAACAAATTTGCATACTATATCAACCCTGACACTTCCTAATAATACCAATGATTTTTGAATATTAAAAAATTGTGGAGCTATTATATATCTACAAGTATTCGTGCCTTGTGTTTCCAAACTTATCTAAACTGAATTGATATCCTTATTTTATCTGACACTTTCTTGAAATATGTAACAAGCTGTAACCGAAGTGGATTCCATTGTTTGAATAAGACCCTCAAACTGCATTTAATGAAATCTATAGATGAACAATATCATGTCAGATAACTTTCTGACCTTTGGTTCTGAATAGTTTGATTTATTACGTCATCCATTGCTACTGTCATTCTAAAATATTGGTAATGAGATCTGGTGGCGCTACCACCTGAAAGTTTACCCGACTTTCATGTGAAAATTTGAATCAAAAAGTGAAAAATTATCAAGACGAGACGAGATGAGATGGGATGAGATGAGATGAGATGTATATTAAGAAGCATCTACTGAATGAAGCTAACCTGTTGTAGACAGTTGCAATGGGGTTTATCAATTACTTAAATAGCAAAACATTAATATTTGATTGATTCTAAGTTTTTGTATAAAATTTTCAGGTTTCAATTTAGTAGCATTAGTGTCGAATAAAGTCCAAAAGGTAAGAAATTGATAGAGATAATACCATGGCTAGCAGAGTATCTAAGGCTACAAAGAAATTTCAGTCTAAGCATTTGAGAAATGCTATCGACAAGAGACGTAAGGACAAAGAATATAACAAAAGAATTCAAAGTCGTCGTGGTAACAAGACTTTAGAACAGAAAAGAGAACTTGCTGGTACTAAAGATGAACAACGTATGAGAAAATCTGTTAAAGAAGAAGTATTCAGAGATTTATCTGTTGAGAAGTTCTTTTCAGATGGGTTCAGTGTTCCAAAAGCATCAAAGAAAATGAGAGAAATTTCAAAGAATCAACGTAATGATTCTGATTCTGATGAAAGCGCCGAAGATTTAAATTCTGAAGATGAAACCGAAATGAAAAGATATTTGGAAGATAATCATGAAGAATTAGTCGGCAATGAAGATAAAGAAGAAGAAGAACAACAACAAGAGGAAAGAAATCACTCCAATTTAACTGAAATTACCGAAATGATGATTAAAAAATGGGACTCAGAATTAGTTAATAAGCCAAACTTAAAATCAATCAAAAATATTACAAGGGCATTCCAATTGGCTGCTATAGATGAAGATAACATTGATATTAAGGGAAATTCTTATTATATCACTTCAGAGGAAGTTTTAGAAAGTGTAATCGCTGTTGGTTTAAATAAGCTGCCAAAGGCCATTGTCCAAATTGTTGCATACAAGGAAAAAAAAGGTGTTAGATCCTTAGCTAATGGTTCCACAGTTACTGAATTGATCGAAGTGATGAAATACCATTTGCCCTCTCTTTTGAATTTACTATCAACATTAACAGATGTAGACACCATATTCGAAGTTTTATCATCAATCAAAGAGTTACTACCGTATATTATCGCTGATAAAAAGAATACCAAAAAACTTATTAACTCATTAGTTACAGTATGGGCTGATATTGAAGATGATCTAGCAAGGGTATGCATTGTCAACTTTTTATGCGAGTTTTGTACAGAATACAAAAAAGATCTTTTGGAGAAAACCTTAAAATTAATATACACTGCTTTTGTCAAAGGCTGTCGTAAAACCAACAAGGATACTATTGGAGTAATCATAAGTCAGATTGACTCAATAACAGAACTGTTCAAAATTGATGAAGCTACCACATACACTATTGGATTTGAATCAATTAGACAGTTAGCCTTACATTTGAAAAGTGCAATAAGTTCAACTTCCAGCAATAATACCTCAGAAGATCCAACTGATGTATATAAAACGGTTTACAACTGGCAATTTATCCATTCATTAGACTTCTGGTCAAAAGTATTGATTGCAACATATGATTTGGATTTAAAGAATAAAGATTCTCCAGCAAAGCAGCTTGCCCAACCTATAATATCAACTACAATTAGTTTCATGAGATTAATTCCAACAGAACAATTTTTACCATTGAGATTCTATTTATTAAGGACTTTGATAAACATTATACAACAGACAGGATTATCGATCCCGGTATTCCCATACATCAGTGAAATATTATTTTCCAATACTTTTGCCAAACCAGGTAGAAAAAATGAAGAGTTGGAAGAGTTTGATTTCTTCTTAAATTTTAAATGTTCACCAGAATATATTGGCACCAAGGTGTATCAAACAGGAGCCTGGTCTGAACTTATTGCAGTTATCGCTGAATTTTTAATTGCTTATTGTAAGAGCATTTCATTCCCAGAATTAGTTACCCCAGTAATTCTATCTATTCGTCGCTTTAATGATATCGTAACGAATGGCCAATTCAATAGTCCATTATACCACCTAAGTGATAAATTGACTCAACATTGCCAATATATTGAAAGAATGAGATCCAACGTAATCTATTCCCCAAGCAATACATCTCAAGCAACTAAATTCCTTGCCGATGTCACTTGGGAAGAGACCCCATTGGGTCCTTATTTGAAATCTCACCGCAAGCAAATCCAGTTGGAAGAATATGAAGACGAAGATGAACTAAGTGATATCGAAATATCCGATTCTGAGTAATTGTTGTGATGAAATGAATTGTCATCTTAAGAAAATCGTATACTTTAAAATAACATCCATAATAGTAATATATAAATTATATATCTGCATACCATATTAAACCTTTAAGAAAGAAACATCTTAATTTCCGGTAATTTAATAGTTAAATAAGGAAGAAACATCAATAAATAGAAGAATAACAAACTAGGTTAGAATAAGTCTCTTCTCCGAACTCTATAACATTATTTTGTTTTTAGTTGTTTGAATTTATCACAAACACATATATAATAGAAGGCCATTATGGATGATACCACACTTATTAATAGTTCACCAAATGGGAAAGCTGATCCAAAGGTTAAAGTAAATGATCCAGATAAAAGACCATTATTAACTGACTTGGGTAAGAGTTCTATAAATAAAGGGTTTAACAAAGTTAATGCAAATGATTCTTCTAAAGAGTTGAGAATCTTGAACAATGAACTATCCAAGGAGCTTGCTGAGGTCTCTAAAAAAATCGATCAATTGAAACAATCTATAAAGATTCTCAACCGTTATGAAGAACAGGACAAGAACTTGAAGCTCATTGAAAAATGGAGAGGTGTCTCTAAAGCTGGGATGTCTTATATATTCAACTCATTGAGATTCAGGATAGATAAGATGGGCGGCTATGAAGAGTTTAGAAGGAAAGAAATCGAAGCTGAAAAACGTAAGATCGAGTATCAGTTTGATGATGGTTTACAGAACGAGATTGACAATATCTTAGATTCTGAAGAATTCAAAGCTCTTCCAATAGATGATCAAATTGAATATAAAGAGAAGATGGATGAAAAAATTCAACAAGCTGAGGAATACAAGTTAAAACAATTCGAGAAATTTGATAAAGAACTAGCTAATGCTTCAAATAAGGAATTGACAATGGAAGAGTTGGCTGACCGTTTAAAAGTTGAATACAAGTTAATATTTTCTTCGTGACTGTCTCCAAAATATTCAAAATATAGGATTATTTTATTTGCTTGAATGTTTTATCTATATATGTAAACAGAACTATATATAATTGTTATTACAATAAATAATAACAGTTCCTTAAAGTATCTACTTTTTTTTATCTATGAAATGAAGTGATAAACTTTCTAGATGAAATGCTTTTTAAAAGGGGAAGTTAATAATAAAATAACTGATTAATGCAAGTTTTAGATTTGAAGAAGAATTAGCCTCTGATGCTCTATCATTGTTGGAAAATGTCTTCTAATCTCAATCTTGGAGCGATGTTCATTGATAATAATTCTTGGAACAACAGTTTTGCAGCGTATGGAATAGTCATTTTATTATTATGTTCTGCACTCTTACAAGTAGAACACCAGCCACTGTAGCCCATCAAACCACACTTATCACAGACATCCACTTCGAAAGCATCTGAACTGATCATCAATCTTTCTAATAATAATTGGGAAGCACCATATGCGATAACACAATCTCTTTCCATTTCACCTAATCTTAAACCACCATCTCTTGATCTACCTTCTGTTGGTTGACGAGTTAAAACAGCTCTTGGACCTCTGGCTCTTGCATGCATCTTATCCAAAACCATATGCTTCAACTTTTGATAGTAGATAGGACCAAAGAAAATATAAGCTTGTAAACATTCACCTGTTATACCTGAATACAACATATCCTTACCAGAATAGTTGAAACCTTTATCAACCAAAATTCTAGACATATCTTCCAGTTTGGAACCACCAAAACAAGTACCATATTCAAGACTACCGTTCAGAACACCTGCTTTACCAGAAACTAACTCAATCATTTTACCGACAGTCATACGAGATGGGAAACCATGAGGATTCATAATAATATCTGGTGAAATACCATCATCATTAAAAGGCATATCTTCATGATTCACAATAATACCACAAACACCCTTCTGACCATGTCTCGATGAGAATTTGTCACCTAATTCAGGTCTTCTGTTTTGTCTCAATAAAACTTTGATTAAAGCTTGATCATTATCAGACACAGACATCATAACTTGATCAATACGAGATGGTTCTGGTGCTCTGTAAATAACAGGAGTTTCCTTATATTGAGCTTGAGTATTTGCTAGCACACCTTCACCACTATTTGTTGGGACAGATTTGTTAATATAGATTTGACCACTGGTAACTTGAACACCAACTTCACCTAAACCATCTGGGCCTAATGGTTCGTGTTGCCAGATCGGTTTACCATTTTCATCAACACGCATACCACCAATGATATCTTGTGTATGATTTGGATATTTCTTTAAGACAGTTGTGGTTTTTCTACGTGTTTCACAACGACCAAAACCTCTATCAATGGATGATTTATTCAAAACCAAAGCATCTTCAATATCATAACCAGAGTAAGACATAACTGCAACAGTAGCATTTTGACCAGCTGGTAATTTATCATAATCAATCAGTTCAATAGTCTTTGTTTTGACCATTGGTTGTTGAGGATAGATCATTAAGTATAATAGTGTATCGATTCTCTTAAATTGATTATATGCGATTGCACCAATGGCTTGCTTACCCATCGCACATTGATATGTGTTACGTGGAGATTGGTTATGGTGAGGATATGGAATCAAACCTGCAACTGCACCTAAAACAGTGAAAGGTTCAATTTCCATATGTGTAACATTTTCATTAATGTCCTTTTCATATAAAGCAATGAAAGAATCATTTTCTTCATTGACATCTAGATATTCTACCAATCCGAGTTTCAAAAAATCATCAAAAACCAATTTACCTTCTAATAATTCTTTCAAGTGTTCAGCATTAACGTGTGATTTTCCAGCTGTCACTATGATTAACGGTCTACAAATTCTACCACCATCAGTGGCAATATGAACAGCTCTTTGGTGAGAATTAGTGTAAATCGAAATAAATTCAGAGACTTTACCTGTTCTTCTCAAGTGTCTAAATTGGGAAACAAATCTAGCTGGGAATCTAATTGTACCAATTAAAGTACCATTCAAGTGAACGGTATAATTTAAATGCAGAGTGGCACTATCTACTAAACAGATGTTTTCAACACCCAATACAAAACATAGATTTTTAATTGGTTCTTCTTCATCATCAGTAGTAATATGCGTCATTAATGCTAAGTTTTTAACTAGACCACATGCTTCACCTTCTGGAGTATCGGCGGTACATAACATACCGAATTGAGATGGTTGCAAAGCTCTTGGACCAGAAACTTTTCTAGATTTTTCGAATTGAGATGAAATTCTTGTCATCATACCCAGAGCAGAAATATATGATAATCTTGACAAGACATGTGTGACACCGGCTCTTTCCATCTTAAATCTCTTCAAAGACCAATTACCTGTAGAGATGGCTCTGTTTAGACCACTTGTGATATTATTAGAATGAACGTTAATCGACAACAATGCGTCATACTCCATGGCTCTATTTGGTTTTTTCAAAACTTTATCAATACTTGCCTTAAAATCACTATTAAATTTCTTGAACAAATCTTCGAATAATAAAGAGATCAATTGACCGGCCAATTCCAAACGTTTATTACCGACATAATCTCTATCGTCGACCATTTTTGGGTTGTGCATAGCCATAACCACTCTACGAGCCATCATGGCGACATATAGGGCTTTTTCTCTAAAATCCAAAGCTTCTACAGTCAAATGAGCAATGACTGTAGTTGCAATAGCTTCAATACCTTCTTGTAGAATAGATAATTTTTGTCTTCTAATAGTCTTCACCTTACCACCAATGTATTCCAAAGCTTGTCTTTGAGTATAAATATTATATTTTGCAGCCTCTTCCAAATTGACTGCAAATATATCTTGGTAACTACTATCGTTACCACATACCAATTGCATGATTTCCAAATCCGAGATAATACCACAAGCCTTCAAGACAATAGCGATTGGTACTTCTTCGGCGATGGAATTATGCTTTAAATATATTTTACCATTTTTAGTAACGACATAAGTTTTCGATTTTCTTTCGTGTGTAGAAGAGGTGACTGAAGCTTGTACGATTTCTTTTTTCTCGTCTGCCTCTACAATAATACGATTCTTTGATAATTGTTCTTGAACCAATATAACTTTTTCAGTACCATTTACAATGAAGTAACCACCAGGATCCAACGGACATTCATTTAATTTAGCCATCATAGAATCGTCTGCACCATTCAAGATACATTTATTTGATCTCAACATAATTGGCATTCTACCTATCTCTACATCTTTATGCATAATAATGTTTCTACCCCTTGTATATTCGATGTCAACGTAAATTGGAGCGGAATAAGTCATATCTCTCAATCTACATTCATGAGGAGGAGTCAAATAATCCTTTGAACTAGAAGAAGATCTCTGACCAATCCGGATATCGACGTACTTCAAGTAAAATTCGGGATCAACATCACTTAATATCAACTGATTAGCCTTTATAATCTTTTTCAAATCCACGTCAACGAAATAATTAAAAGAATCTAAATGTTGTTTCACCAAACCTTTGACCTTCAGAAATGCAGGTAACAAATTCCATTTATCTTCTGCAGTGCTAACAGCGTCAGTAAGTTTCTTACCCTTATAGACAGGTTTCAAAAGAGCTTCGAAATCCTCATCCTTGACATTATCCTCGCGTTTAACAACCATTGTTGAAATCTAATCCAAATTCAAATCTAATCCAACTCTAGATCAAATGAAATCAGCTCTAAATCAAATCAAAGAATAAAAAGTTTCGGACCCTCAAAAAATCGTAATATCTCTCACCTAGGTCCCACTTTTATTATTAACCACAGACCTAAAACACCAACACAGCAACTTAATCCGATCAAAACGAGTCTCAGAAATCAACCAGATAAACTACAATCACTTCAAAAGTTTTAAAACAAATCAAACCTTTACAATATATTACTTTCTTATTAATATGATAATATTATTAACCTCATCGCTAAAATAATTTTTCACTTTTTCCAACACTTCGAACTTTTCGAAAATGGAAAAATGAAAAATTATTTCAGATCGAAAATGGAAAATAAGCTGTCGTTAATTGTGACTGCTAATTTGTATAGAATCATTAATAGATAGAATTCCCATTCCCATCCATCTATTAATGTTTTAAGGCCTTTCCTATAATTAAGCTATATTAGGATGAGATACTTTACATGATTATAGAGGTTCATTTGTTTATGTTGTAGGATAGTTCAGGGTTCAATAGTTTTGTTGAGTTGATTCAAAGGGTGCTTGGCGTGGGTTTTTTATTGTTTGTTTTGGTCTTGATTTAACTGCAGCACGGGGAATAATAAAAACAAAACTTACTTGGAAGAGATGAGTGCTGATTTGGCTAAACAATCTGTTAATCAGTATTTGGAGGAATTGCCTCAACCTGTGCAATGTAAGTTGTACGAGTCGCCAGCTACTTGTTTGGCTATATATCGTTTGCTACCTCAATTGGCGAAATTTTTCATTATGTCTATGGTTTTCAATGATAATGAGATTTCGTTACGTGATCTAGATCGATGGGTTAAAGCAAGTGCAAAAGTACAGTTTCAAGAATCGATTAAATGTATGAAATCTTTGAATTTGTTGATTCCAGGCAAAGAACCAGGTTCAATCATGGTTAATTTGAATCCAACTTTTAGAAAAAGTTTGAGGAATGCATTGAGTGGTGGTGAGATTAACAATTCATTTGGTATTGTCGTGGATTCAGATAATGATCTTGTCACTAGGGCAATGTTGGATAGCTATTCTGCTGATAAATGGGAAACAATCTTGCATTTCATGGTGGGAACACCGTTGGTGAGCATTCCTTCGGATAATGTTTTGAACTTGTTGAAACATAGTAAATTGATGGAAGAGGTTGAAAGTACAGGTGAGTTTAAAATCACAAATGAAGGCTTCCAATTTTTATTGCAAGAGGTGAATTTACAGATTTGGACTTTGCTATTGCAGTATTTGAAAATGGCAGAAACTTTCCGTATGAATCCCGTAGATGTGTTACACTTTATATTCATGTTAGGTGCTTTGGAATTTGGTAAAGCTTATAGCACAGAAGAGTTGAGTGCCACTCAAAAGACAATGATGAAAGATATGAGGGATTATGGGTTGATCTTTCAAAAGAATTCAAATACAAACGTTTTTTACCCAACTAGATTGGCGACTATGTTGACTTCTGATTCGAGAACAGTGAGAAACGCATCAAGTGCAATGGACAGTGTCTTGACACAAAGTAAAGATGAACCAAGCGGTGCAACAAGTGGTTCTGCAGACGTGGATGAACAAGTTGGTACTCAGGGACAAAACATTCAAGATGGTGCATTGGTAGTGGAGACCAACTTTAAATTGTATTCTTACTCTAACTCTCCATTGCAAATTGCGATCTTATCCCTTTTTGTACATCTGAAGACTAGATTTTCTAATATGGTTACAGGTCAAATCACTAGGGAATCCATTAGAAATGCACTTTCGAACGGTATTACAGCGGAACAAATTATTGCGTATCTAGAGACACATGCACATCCACAAATGAGAAGGTTGGCGGAAGAAAGGTTAAAGAAGAAACTAGAACTGGATCAAAACTCTAAAGAAACTTTACAAATACTTCCTCCAACTGTGGTTGATCAGATCAAACTATGGCAACTGGAATTAGACAGAATTATAAGTTACGAAGGGTCGCTATATTCTGATTTTGATAACAAACAGGAATACGACATGTTATACTCATATGCTCAGGACATTGGTGTGTTGATATGGAAAGATGATAGAAAGAGAAAGTTTTTCGTATCTAAAGAAAGTAATTCGCAAGTATTAGATTATGCTAAACGGAAACTTAAAAAGAAATAGATATAGATAGATAGATAGATAGATAGACAGATAGGCAGATAGATATATCTGATGAAACCTAATGAATGCATTTTGACAAGAGACGGCATTACATATATAGTAAATATTAGGCATATATACCCACATATACACATAGTACCGAAAGTATACGTTGTATAGGTCAGATAAAACACCTGTCCATAGAGAAAGATAGACTTATGTAACTTCAATTGCATCATCCTGACGGCATTTGAATTTCAATTTCGAACTAGAGGAAAAGGAGAGTAAGAATAAGAAGACATGGATATCATTAATTACCTTCGGTTGACAGGTAACCGTGATTCGTATTGCATCTAAGCAACGGTAAAGCATGCCAACAGCTGGGGAAAGGGGTATGGACGAGTGTCTTGGTTGAAGGGAAAGGGAGGTACGACGACGACCCCTCAAAAACCACCAACCTGACCACCGTTGTTTTATATATCCCATCATACTCGAAACATTCGAAGGTATTGCATTGCATTGCATTGTATTGTCTTCTTGTCGATGGTTTGGTTGTATGAATTTTATTGGATGAACAAAATGAGATGATATATTGGTAGCGTCGCACTGACATAAACACAATATATACAGCCATTTGTCTCTTTCCCCCCCATCTTTACCCCGGTTTTCACGTTTGGGATCGTATCCATGTTGCTAGCGCCGTTATCAAGAAACTTGTGGTTTTTTGCCCGGAATAGGCAAAAGTCCGAATGTGGAAACTAAATCAACGGGTTTCCGTTTTGGGACAAACAAACAAAAAATAAATAATCTAATATTCAAAAAAGAAACGTGAATATTTTTCTCTCTCTGGGTTCAAGATTTTTGGCAAATATAAAAAGAAGAAACCTTATAAGAAGGGGGGGAAAACTATCCATTGATCTATTGGATATAAACTGCAAGTATAGGTATAAGATACAAGAAACGATCAAAACAGCGCTAGGAATATATTATAATTGGAAGATTGAAGTATATTTTATAAGTTGAAAGTGGATATTTGTATCTCATATGGTACTTTTAACAATTTTCAGAGGTGAAATTATTGTTTAAAATTTATATTTTAAGGCCAGTTTATACATTGTGGTTAGCATTTGTTTCCTTATCAATTAGCATTTATATATATTTACCAGTTGTATTTTTGGTTTCATTGATTTAATTTGTGGAGAGCAAGAGAAAGAGAGAGACTGCGTGTGTGTGTAATAATTTTTGATAATTTATTTAGAATTGTGGTCGAGGGAAGATACATGAGGAAGTAGTTTACAAGGACGAATTTGATTTTTAAAAGAAGATAAAACAGAACGTAAAAAAACACAGCAGAGAAGTGGATAGATATTCATATACATATATCTACTGGGAACTATGAATGATAAAGAGGATGTTGAAGAGTTAAATACGTCGCCAACGCGGGGGAATCTCTCTGCAGAGGTAGACGAAGATGTTATTCCAACTGCCATTGTCATTAAAAATATACCATTTTCTGTTAAAAGAGAACAGCTTTTGGATTTTATGACAGAACTAGATTTGCCTTTGCCTTATGCTTTTAATTATCATTTTGATAATGGCGTATTCAGAGGTTTGGCATTCGCTAATTTTTCTACTTCTATAGAGGCACAACAGATTATTGATTCTTTAAATGGAAGAGATATTGGTGGGAGGAAATTGCGTGTTGAATTGAAAAAAATGTTACCATTAGCTGAAAGAGAACGCATCGAAAGGGAAAAAAGAGAGAAAAGAGGTCAATTAGAAGAGCAACATAGAAACTCTTCAAATGCTTCTTTAAATAAACATAATAATGGTAACAATAATTCAAGAAATCATCACCATCAACAACAACAACAACAACAGCAACAACAACAGCAACAACAACAGCAACAACAGCAACAACAGCAGCAACAATTCGTGAGTACTATTAATTACAACGATCAACAACATAGTCCAATGTTGAATTTTACGCCAGTGAATAGCAATAGCAGGTACTATGCTCCATTTCCACAGTCTTCAAATGCTATCTTATCTACAGGTTCATCACTGCCTACCAATATAGATTTTAATGATCCTGATACCTTAGAAATATATTCACAATTGCTACTATTCAGAGATAGCCAACGCAATTACAACAAACTGGTATACCCTCTAGGACTATCTCAGACTTTGAAAAACATTGTTACTGCCGTTTGTTGTTTATTGGGTTTGATAGAGACTGTTGATCAAAGTAATATAATTATACAAAGAACTGCAAACATGGAGAATTCAGTCCCAAAACCACAGGTGTTCGGTTCTCCTGCATTAGAACAACAACAGACTTTTGCCATTTCTACGCATAACCAATTACTTTCAGGTGCCAATAATAATTCTAATGATAATTCTAATGATAATAATGCCCATAACTATGTAAATAACATAGGTTTGGGCTTTAGTAATGATAATACGATTTCTCCAAATAGATCAAGTTTCCATCAACAATCAATGAACTCTCCAAGATTAGTAAATGGTTACCCATCCAATGTTTCATTATCTAATATGTCTCCAATGAACAACAACTATTCGATTTTGAGAAACCAGGGTATATCCCCTACCACTCAGCATGTTCAATTAAATAATACCACAAGTCAAACAAACATCCCATCAATATATCCCAATTCTGCTGTTAATAATTTACTCACTTCAAGCCTATCCTCTTCAAATATCCCTGTGGAATTGGAAGTGTTGGGTGGAGTCAGTGATGAAGCGGTTATGTTCCCTACAACTAGAACAAGATCAATCGCTGCTTTCAGCAGTCAATTGGAAGAAGGTTTGAACAGATCTTTAAGTGGATTGGATTTGAGATCCCATTATTCTTCTTTTGAGAATAATGGTAATGGTAACAGTTCGGTTTGGAAATAATGTTATATGATAAAGTTTTGCTCTTTTTCAAAAAATTTCTATTTTATGAAATGTAATTTTTTTTTCTATCAGTAATGAAAAGTAACTGTATGAACAATAAACAGTGACTACCACAAGAATATTGTCTTTTAAATATAAAATTATGAAAAAATGTCGTGATGAATTAATGACTATTAATGATCTAATACGTTTATGAATTTAATGTAAGTATATCTATGGTTAGACGAGCCAACAATTTATGTCCTTTTGTAATGATATGATTTTACGAATTGTCATTTAATGTATAAAGAATATTTTAACGTGAAAAATATTTTATACGATTGATATATATTGATAACTATTTCAATATATATATAATTATATATATATGTATGTATTTAGTTATGTCTATATAAATATAAACGATGATTTTAATGATACTTTACATAATAAACCAAACTTTGCTTAGTATAGAATTGTATAAATGGTATTCTATTAACATGATATTGTGACAACAAGTAGTTTCTTGTAGAAATGAAGTAACTATGCTTTCATTGGGAATTGTTTTGAAATGAAATGAATTATGGTTTTAGGTTGGAATCTTTTTTTTTGTTTTACGATTATAAAATCTTGATAATGGGTTAACTTTTTTTTTCTTTAAGAATTAGAAATATATCATATCATATCTTGGAGTAGAGTACTTATACTTGGCAATTGCTTATTGTTTAACATATTAGTTGAATTAGAAGTATTTGCAGTACCAGCTGTAGTTGTAGTTGTTGAGCTAGTTGCTGAACTCATTACAGAAGCTGATCTTACATTAAGAGAAGAAGGTGAATTTTTCGAGCTATCGGTACTATTATTTGAGTAATAGGCGTTTGGCGATATGTCTTTAGAGGTTGGTGGAGAAGCTGATGAGTCTCTACGTAGGTGTCCCATATTATGTTCGTTTTTAATGAATCTATGATTTGATTTGGAGATGTTTATTTCATCATCATCTACTATAGCTTCTTCATCGTCTTCATCGAAGGTATCCTCATCGATAGCACTCTCGATAGTTTTAACTGAATGCGAAATATAAGTGTTCCTTGGGGAATTCAAAGGTGATTGCGATGCTGAAGGTGAAGGGGTATTTTGAGAATTAGTCGAGACAGCTGATGTTTCTGATAGCAAAGTTGCTAGTCTTGATCTTATTTCTATATCTGGTTTGTTTGGTAACAACAACGACAATTCCAAAGAAGACATCTTTCTTCCAGATTCGAGCAATATTTTGTCTTCATCTGGTGTCCAGCTTATTTTTGATGGCGCTTGTTGAACTTGTTGAGGTTGTTGATGGCTCTGTGGGACTAGTTGTGGCTGTTGGGTGGTACCTCTTCTTAGATGAGGTGGGAGATCCATGTAAGTAGTTCCCATGGAAGTGGAAGAAGATCTTGAGTTTTGGACGATTGAGTTTCTTCTTAGGTTTTGTTGAGTTGGAGTTGCTATGTTTGGAGTCGAGGACACGACGGAGTGTCTTCTTGACAATGGGGTGCTTGAAGAGAAGTTGAAAGAAGAACGTCTTGATCTAGTTGAGAACGAATTTTTCCTTGATTTTGTAGATAGATGGTGATGATTTATGATTGGGAAAGGTGCCGATAAGTTCAATGGGTTTTGTTGCTGAGCAGCAGTAGATGTATGAGCAAACGAGCTTCTTCTTGATCTTACGATGATTTTTGGCACGAAACCTATATTTTCTTGATCTGGAGGCAATACGTTGACAGACTGAGAACGAGGACCTGCTGGGTTTACTAATGGTGTGTTGAAAGATTGGTTTGGTTTTGAAAGAGAGTGAGACATGGACCTTGGTTTAATGAATGAGCCTGAATTAGAAGAGCTGCCAGTGCCTGTGCCTGTATTGGCAGTTGTTGAGGAGGAGTCATATGGGTTTGAATGGGTAAAGACAGGAGAGAAAGTAGGAGGATGCTGAGGAATGGAAGGTACCTGAACCTGGATAGGGACCTGTTGAACTGAATTAGTCTTGACGGCTTGGTGTTGCTGTTGGGGAGCTGGAGATTGTTGTTGTTGTTGCTGGGGGATGCATACATTTACATTATCAGGAATAGCCAGTTCTATGTTATATTCGTTGATGTTTATAGTAGCAGTTTTGTTTGATTTCAAATTTCCCGACTTCAACCTTCTCCACCTGAACTGACAAGCATTTGGAGTTCTATTGTTGAAATATTTTGAGATGTCCTTCCATCCCATTTTTTTGACTTCTTTCAAATGTCTCAACAAGATATCATCTTGAGGATCCCAAGAAGAAGGATTCTTTTGAGAAGAACTTGAATCAGAAGAAGGAGAATCCCGCTGTTGTACGACAACAGCAGTATTTGACATGATTTGGAACAGAAATGGCTAAAAACAAAGCACACACACACACACACACACACACACAGACGCAAACTAGAATATTATAAACCTAGAATAATAATACCAAAAACGTATAATATCTATTTATATTACAATGTAAGCAATAGAACGAACACTCTACTTTTAAGAACAGCAAGAGACAAGAGACAACAATACAAAGAATCGATGAGATATATAAATATCCAAATATTAAACACCAAAAACACTAATATAACATGTTTTAATAGAGTGATTAAGCCCACTTTCGATCGAGATGGCCTAACTAAATGTTTCAACTTTTCGACTCGAAGGACGAAACTCATCTCGAAACCGAAACTTTCATCAACAACCACTCATCACCAACTCATCGCCTACACCAAGACCAAGACCAAGACCAAGGCCATCACCAACTCATCCTCATCCTCATCACCAACATCTCCATCAGAGCATCGAATCGAATCGAATCGAATCGACAGAGCACAGCACAGCACGACGACGACGACGACGACAGCTCACTGCTACAAGTTGACTTGAGATATAAAGCATCTGACGTGTTGTTGTTGTTGTTGTTGTTGTTGTTGTTGTTCAGGTGGGAAGGGAGCTGTCGATGTGTTTGATGTTTGATGTTTGATGTTTGGTGTTGTCGTCGTTGTTGTCGCTGCAATGGCTAAAAGTCAGACGTGGTCATCATGACCAACGCAGACCGTTTCTTACGACTTGGCTTGGCTTGGCTTGGCCCAGGACGAGATGGGATGAGATGAGATGAGGTGAGATGAGATCAGATGGGATCAGATGGGATAAGATATTAGTACATTAGTACTTTGCTACTTTGGTAATCACCCATTCTTCATATTCTGATGTTCTTTCTAGTCAAGACTGCCAAGAATGGTGAGGATGGGTAAACGTTTCTATGATATCGCAGTCAACGCTACTGATTGCATGTTTCATGGATCTTATAATGGTAAAAAATATCATGATATAGATCTGATCAACGTCTTCAAAAGAGCTTACCAACAAAATGTACTCTGTTGCCTACTTACTGGTTCCTCTATAAAAGAATCTATCATCACAAAATCCATTGCAAATGAATACGCTACTACCTCTCTTTTCAAACTACCTTCCTTATACTACACTATAGGTGTACATCCTTGTTCTGTTAACGAATTCATCACTTATAACAACAACTACAACAACAAGACTGACCACACTCTCTCAAATGACCAATTCTTCCAATTGGCTCAGGATTCACCACTTGTGCCTGTTGAAAACTTGAACCTATTATTACAACTGTGGAAGGATTCTTTGAATGATCCAAAATTTAGAGCCCTGGGTGAAATGGGACTGGATTACGATAGACTCAACTACTCTTCCAAAGAAATGCAACTGCTCTTCTTCAAGGAACAATTGAAACTATCTTGTGACCCTCAACTACAACACCTGCCTCTATTCTTACACATGAGAAACTGTAGTGAAGATTTCATCCCAATTTTAAACCAATTCATAAATGGTTACCATGACACATCAATGATATCACCCAACGATCCTCCTCGTCTCTACAAATTCTCTGACCAAAGGCTAATGGTAGTCCATTCTTTTACCGACTCGACCCAGGATATGTGCGATCTGGTCAACCTATCTCCTAACATCTACATCGGTTTAAATGGTGCCTCTTTGAGATCCCAACAGAATCTAGATACCGTCAAGGAGATACCGTTGGATCGTATCCTTATCGAAACAGATTCCCCATGGTGTGAAATCAGAAAGTCCCATCCTTCTTACCAATGGCTTCACAAAGAAGATGGTGAGATCCAGCCAAGATACGAAGAACCTTACAAAACTGTTAAAAAGGATAAGTTACAAGGGAAACCTGATGATGAGAAACAAGTAACTATGGTTAAATCAAGAAATGAACCTTGTCTTGTAGAACAAGTCGCAATTGTAGTTTCTCAATTGAAAAATATCCCATACGATGAATTTGTCGACACTGTATGGGAAACTTCTTGTAAAATTTATGGTGAATAATCAGTTATTGTTATTTACTTATATTATCATTCATTATACATTACATGCTCATATACTATTCCGATCCCTCTTCATCCATGTTGTGTTGGTAGATTTTGTAACGTAGGAGGGATTGGGTAACTGAACCTTAACGGATCTTAGATTTCGTATATGTAGTTTAACATACATACATACTTAAATTGATATATTTATACAAAACAATAATGAGTGGCATTATTTAATTTCTTGTAATTTGTCATCATCTTCCGGATCAAAATCTTCAGGTTCTGTTTCACCGGCAGCAGCATTACTTAAGGAAGCTAGCATTTCAGATAACGCACTACCAGTAATGATAGGTGCACCGTTACCATCGCCATTTTCACCATTAGTTGTGATTTCAATACCACTGGCACCCAATATAGCCTCTAATGACAATAAATCGACAGGGCCGCTGATTCTCTTCTTTTCTGCATCTCTGCTAGCTTCTTCAGGGGAGACTTTTCTTAAAGTAACATCGAATACAGGGTTTTTGTCATCATCATCATTGTTTGGATCGTTTTCAGGGAATTGGAAATAATTAAAGATCTTTCTTCTCTTGGTAGCAAAAGTTTCATTAACTTGGTATTTTTTATTCCTTATTCTGGTAAACCATTCATCTTCGGATTCATTTTCCTTTAATAATGCTACAATTACAATACTCATATTATCACAACCGATACCTGTACCTTCTGTAGTTGGTGCACAGCAAACATCAATAATTCTTGAAGAGATATCTGCTAAAGTCATATCACCTTTTGAAATACCGTAATTAACCAAATCCACACATTCTTGAGAAGTCAAACAATCCCAAATACCGTCACAAGCCAAGATGACGAAATCATCCTTTGAGTAATCTAGCGAATGTTCCATAACGTCTGGCACACAAGTGACAATTTGTTCTTCAGGAGATAATTCATCATTTGATTTGAATTCGAAATCACCGATGGCTCTTGACAAAGCCAAATTACCGTTGACACGATCCATTTCTACAAACCCACCAGCAGCGACAATTCTTGACTTTTCACTAGCTAAAGTAGGTTTATGATCATAGGACAAAGCCTTTGCGATACCATTAGTAGATAAAACAGTTCTTGAATCACCAGCGTTTGCACAAACAACCAAGTTTTGCAATTTAGAAACCAAGATGGAAGTAGCGGTACACCCACTATGGTCATTTCTAATAGCAGGCTCCTTCAACAATTCCTTGTCTGTAGATAGATATAAATCAATTAAACATTGTTTCAAATCACCTTTGATAAAATTAGGTTCTTTCTGCAAGATAGAAGTACACTTTTCACCACAAAATTGTGAAACAGTTGAACCACCATGACCATCAAAGATCGAGTAAAAAGCAATATGATCCTTGGAAGTTGAACCATCACCAATATTCAACTGGGTAATATGAGCATCCTCCATTGACATACGCCAACCTTGCATATCACATAAACCAAAAGCAGTGAATTCATCCTTAGAAGATTCGATATGTTTTTCAACAATGGGATTAGATAGAATTTGACCCATGATAACAAAATTTTTTAATCTTTTTTATTTTTAAAATCAACAATATATTTACCTGATCAACAATATAACGTTGCCTCTTAATACAGACCTGTGGTATACCTTTACCTTATTATATTTATTTATTTAACTTTGTTTTCTAATTGTAATATAAGAAAAAATCCTGCCAAAAAACGAACTGGTACAAATTAAAACCAACTTTCTTGAACAGCCTTCTTCCGTAAACAACAATTCAAAACCAAACCCAAACGTAATGATCCTGCTGACGTCAGAATAAACATATATATCAAATCCCAATCCCTATCTGATACCCAAACTAAACCTTTAAAACTTGTATCTTTAAAGCTTTCTTTTATAAACCTTTCTTTGTTTTGTTGGTTTGTGTGTGAAAAAAAAAAGATGGTTAAAATTGTCGTTGTGTTGATATAAAAAGAGGGAAAGGATATAGCAAGGAGGTTTATGAAACTATATAAGAGATGAGATGAGATGAGATGGGATGAACTTAATGGGTCTTTTTGAATAGGATTGATGGTTTGCTTGAGAGGAATTGAGTCTATTGGTGGTGGTTGTGGTGGGTTGTTTGTTTTGGTTGGTCTTTGCGTTACAGCAGGCTACTGTTTGGGGGTTACCACGACGATAACCAGGACAAGGGGATCTCATGTGAGAAAGATCAAGAAGAAGCAGGAGGAGGTTGGACAAGAAGAAGAAGATGATGGTGAATATGAGGATGAGGAGGATGAGGAGGATGAGGAGGAATACTCTGACTACGAGATCGATTCTTTATCTTTGAATGATGTCCCTGGCGAAGTCAGAATGGCTTTGGTTATTAGACAAGATTTGGGAATGACAAAGGGGAAAATTGCAGCTCAGTGTTGTCATGCTGCTTTGTCTTGTTTCAGAATGATAGCAGTAGATCCTAAAAAGACTTCTTATAATCCTATCATGACAAACAGATGGCTCCATCACGGCCAGGCTAAGATCACCTTGAAGTGTCCAGATAAAGAAACCATGGATGAGTTGTACGCCAAGGCTATCTCGTTGGACGTCAATGCTTGTGTTATCCACGATGCTGGGAGAACCCAGATCGCTGCAGGTAGCGCTACTGTTTTAGGTTTGGGTCCTGCTCCAAAGGCTGTCCTCGATCAAATCACAGGCGACTTGAAATTGTACTAATTGCATTCTCTTTATAGACAAAGTTCTTGTTATCCACAATTGAACCCTTCCACATCACCAATCCATACTTTTAAATATATTTACATGTATTATTACTATTACTATTATTATTATATATATATATAATCTAAGGGATATAGGAATTATTATTAGTATTATTTTTTTTTTCTTAATTAGCTCCAAATGCTAGAAGTAAGAGAATATTATAAAGTCATCATTTTTTGCCATTCAGCAGTTCTAGTCTCTCGTACACATTTCTCATGGAATCTGATTCCAAAGGCATGTTAGCCAACCTAGGGTGTTCTACCTTCTCTGAACTAAAACCCTTAATCTCCCGAAACTCTTTCATCGTGGAAATATCCCATATCCAGCAAGAACCACTCACTAACATGGATAACGTACCAACGGTGATCCCAGTAGCAAGCACAAGGGCAGGCCCTGTTTCACCTTTATATGTAACCACTGGTGGTTTATAATTCAATTGAAACATATTAGGAACATCTAATTAGATTTCTCATCAGTTTGTTAGTATCAATTCCGTCCCCTACAGAACTTCAAGCCTTTCCCACTCCCATTAATCAGAACAAATAATACATACAATGACGAGCCTTAGCCCTAGTGATAGCCAATCTACATGAGATCAACGTTACTGCAGTTGATCCAATAAACCTCATCATCTGTTGTTTCCGTCTGTTCTTGTATTTTTCAGTGAATTCTTCAACATCTTGAACAGGAATTCCTTCACTAACAACATCAACCATCACTAAATCCTCGATATCAACTCTCAAATCCACCAATCAATCAAATATAACCCATCTAAAGAGTCCCAGTTTGCTCATCTCTTGTTCATTTTGTATTGATCTTAATTGCGCAATCGATTTCAATCCTTTAAAAGTATATAAGCTCAGATTATTTCATATAAAAATCTAACCAACTTTTAACCGTTTGCGAGTTTATTGGATGGTAAACTTGGTGAAACGTTAGACAGAGTAAGCTAATATCTAATATTTATCAGAATGCACCCACAGTTAGAGGCCCAACGTTTTTATTGTATGTTTTAGTTTGACTTATGGCATTAGTTACTACTTTTTAGTGATGATTGAGAATTTTAGATAAAATACTAACAACAAGACCAATGGAATGAAACGTCTTTTTAGCCTGTGCTGAGTTTATCGATGCTTTAGAGAGGTGTCATGAGAAGGAGTTCTACAAGAGGATGTTTGGTGTGTGTAATAATGAGAAAGAGGCATTGACCAAATGTTTGAAGGAGACCAAACGTACATTGACTATAAAATCTATTGAAGAGTCCAAGGCAAAGAGAAAGGTCATCGAAGACAAATGGAAGAAATCAAAGGAAGAAGAGTTTGGTGAAGATGCAATTCTAAAGAAGATTATGGAGAGACACAATATCTCGATGGCTGACATCGACAAGGATTGAAAGAAACATACCATGTAAGCATTTTAGATCTTTCCCTCCCGGTCACCACCCCCAATACTCCATAATTACTGATTCAAGGCTTATGGATTATCATTGGATATATAGGTACCACTACTGTAAATACTAAAAATAACAATATTATATATGTCATAAAGGAAACTGTTCGATCAAATTGTGACATTCCATTCCTGATCGTATCGTTCTTGCTCGAGGTATTATGTAAAAATCAACCTTCAGGACTACTGTAAAAAACCTGGATTCAATCTTGTACATTGACAACCTACTAATCCCAACCATAGATCTGTCCTAAAAACATCTTCTACTCTCTCAATCTATCCATCTCTAACATCTTCGACTCTTGTGCTTCCTCAACTTTTCAATATCAGATATCTCCCATAATTAAGAAGTTGAAAAATATTGCACTAGTCAGAGATATCATGAATAACAAAGAAGCTATTAAAAGAATGGTCATAGTGATTATATCAGTGTAATAGCCATCGATATAAGCTGAATTGCGAGTCTGTGTACCAGAGTGTGTGTTGTTCAAGTTTTTCTGCTGTTATTATACTTTATTCTACACTGAATCTTCAGCTATTTCTCTTTTTATTATTATTGTTCTTCTCATTCATTTTATTGTTGGTTTAAAGATCTCTAGGAATTTTGCTTCTGATGAGTTTATCTACTGACAATGTGTTGTTTAATAAGTCTTCTGAGATTTCCCCTCCCGGGATTCATCCTTATAAGAAGCATTTAATGGATAGTCAACCTCAATTGACCCCAGCCTCATCGGAACCTACTAATAGTTCTTCAAATTTGGATTTGGATCCAAAATTGATTAAATCTGATTCAAGGGAACAGCTAAAGATATATGGGGATATGGGTCCACCATCTGTGAGCGGAAGACCATCTTTGATGACTTCGCCAGAAGGTTCGAGTTCAAGTTTAAGGTCTTCAAACAATTCTGGTTCAACTCTTAACTTTCATAAGAAGAGAACAAAGTCTGTAGATTTATCCCATCTTTATTTGCTTGCAAATACTGATAATGCTGAATTCACTGCTACTAATGAATCAGTTGCTGATATGTCTCATCAAATGATTAGTCAATATTTAGGTGAAGAAAATAATTCAAGTTTACTACCGAGATTGAAGACAATTGATATGTATAGACAGAACGTTAAAAAATCAAAGGATCCAAGTATTTTATTTGAATATGCTCAATATATTTTACAAACTGCATTGACCATGGAGGCTTCTAATGAACTTGTAGTTCAAGAAGAACAATCAAATGAGAAAACTATAACTCAAAAGGAACTAAGGAAACAATTTCTAAAAGAAGCACATCATTATTTGAAAAAATTAAGTGTTAAAGGTTATGCTAATGCCCAATATCTATTAGGTGATAGCTATGCCTCTGGTGCATTTGATAAAATTGAGAATAAAGAGGCATTCACTTTATTTCAAGCTGCTGCCAAACATGGTCACATCGAAAGTGCCTATAGAACAGCTTACTGTTTTGAAAATGGTTTAGGTACAACGAGAGATTCACGTAGGGCATTGGATTTCTTGAAATTTGCTGCTAGCAGAAATCATCCTTCTTCAATGTTTAAATTGGGTTTATACTCATTTTATGGACGTATGGGTTTACCTAGTGATGTAAATACAAAGCAAAATGGGATCAAATGGTTATCTCGTGCTTCTGCAATTGCCACAGAATTAACTTGTGCTGCTCCTTATGAATTAGCTAAAATTTATGAAAATGGGTTTTTAGATATTATAATTCGTGATGAAAAGTATGCCACTGAATTATACATTCAAGCAGCATCCTTGGGTCATGTTCCCTCTGCAACAATTCTGGGCCAGATTTATGAAAGGGGAAACGAAACAGTAACACAAGATACAAGCCTATCTGTACATTATTATACACAGGCAGCCATGAAAGGAGATCCAATTGCAATGTTGGGATTATGTGCTTGGTACCTTTTAGGTGCTGAACCTGCCTTTGAAAAAGATGAAAATGAAGCCTTCCAATGGGCCTCAAAGGCTGCTGACATTGGATTACCAAAGGCTCAGTTTATCATGGGTTTCTTCTATGAAAAAGGTAAGGGTTGTGTTGCTGACCTCGAGACTGCATGGGGTTGGTATGAGCTAGCGGCAAAAAATAATGAGCCTCGTGCTATCAAGAAATTAGAGAGTAGACAAGGTAGAACTACAAATGCTAATGGAAAAATTTTTACACATAAGAAGAATAAAAGTACTGCAACAGTAAATTTATTTACTAAACTAGAGGAAGAAGAGGATTTCCGAGAGCCAGAGACTGTTGAACCGGAAGAGTATTTTAGTCCAACTAATGACTCCAATAAAAATACATTGTTGAGTCCTACCTTGATGATGAAGGGTAGTTTTGAGAAGACACCCACTCTTTTGCATGATAACGCAAATACCCAGGCATATTTCAATCTAAATACAGAAAACTTTAACCATTCACCACCTGTATTTGCTGCTCAATTCGAGAAGAAGATAAAAGCGCAAATGAAGAACAATAATGACATATCCAACTCTGATAAAAAGACTAAAAAAAAATCAAAGAAGTCCAAACAATGTATTATAATGTAACAAGGTACTAGCAGCTTAAGAAATTTAACATGAATACAAATAACTATATAATTGATATTTATAATCACGGACATTAATAAATATTTGCATACGTATTAGAACTGTAGGCTTTTGAAGTTATGTTTTATCAAGTTTTGTCTAACGACACAGTAAAGCATGATGATTAATCACAATGCATCGAAAGATTAAATTTTAGTAGTGCAAGACAATTATATGTAAAAAAAAAGATAAAGAAATTAAAAGTGACGTTTCATAATATTATAATATATTCACATAATATATTTTGATATTCTAAATTTTTGAATTTGAATTGTTGGGAAATTAATGGGATTGTTTTGATTATCTTGGACCGAATTTTGACATAGCCGCTGGTCCACTTTCTTGCCATTCTTGTTTTGACAACCACATATGATCTTTATCAGCCATAATATTAGCCAAGACAGCACCACCGATGAATACCATATGCTTTCTTCTTGGAGGATCTTCAATTCTAACCTTAAATTTATCTAATCTTGAAGGATCTTTATTTAATACTCTAGTGAACCATAGTTGTTTTAATTCTTTTTCTAATCTTGAAGGTAAACCAGGGTACATACTTGAACCACCTGATAAAACAATTGCCTTGTACAAAGAGCTTCTAACATCAACATCAGCTGATTGAATGGTATTAAACAATAATTCACCGACACCTGCGCTTTCCACGTCTACTAAGTTTGGTTGGAATAAACATTCTGGGGCTTCAAATCTTTCTTGACCAACTTTAATGATTCTACCATCTGGTAATTCATATTTCTCTACTAGAGTAGTTGTTTCTCTTGCTAATCTTGTATCCAGATCTAGATCATAAGAGACATAACATAACTTTTCTTTTATTTGACGAACTGTTTCGAAATCAGCAGTTCTATTAAATGCATAACCACGACGAGACAATAAATCGATCAAATGTCTAGTAACATCTCTACCTGCGACATCTAATCTTCTAGTCAAATGGTTCAACACAACGGATTCGTAAACAGGAACGATATGAGTAACACCATCACCAGAATCCACAACGACACCAGAAGATAGACCTTGAGCATATAGAGCCAAAACAGCCTGAATAGCAACATAAACTCCTCCAAAATCATATTTTTCAAACATTACTTCACACATCTGTTCTCTATTCTTCAATGGGTTCATTGGAGGTTCAGTCAATAAAACTTTACCACCAGAAGTACTTGGCAACTTCATTTGCTCGTAGAATGCATAATCCCATAACAATTCCATATCAGTCCAATTCTTAATAATACCATTTTCCATAGGGTATGAAATTTGCAAATAAGAACGAACCTCACTGGCCTCATCACCGATCATAATATCCTTCAAAGGAGTGCTTATACTTGCACGTTCCTCAGCTCTTAAAATTGGTCTACCAACAATAGATGGGAACGTATAATCTGGGAAGTTCTCACCAGCACGACCAATTTTAACAAACCCAGTACCTTGATCCAAAACAATTGGAGAATGAGGATCCATCTTTTCTTATTTCTCTCTAAAATTCTATAAAACTTGACAGTACAAATATCAGCAAACAACCACACAGAATTATAATGCTCTATCTGACCAATTGAACGATTCAATCAACCTTAAATCTATTCAATATCGTCCATTACATCTATTAAAATATTTCATCTTTTTAAATTAATTTATTTCGAAAGGCCCCTTTTCCATTTTGACGAGAACTTGATATCTTTTCCAGTTGAGAAATGGCAAGGGAAAATATACAGAAGTTAAGTATGTCGTGTATAATGATCGTTATATACACATAATAGATATATATTTATTAAGTGGTTAAAGTGGTTATTATACAATTATGTTAAGAAGTTGAAGGCTGTGACACTAATGATATGTTGATGGATGACAGCAATTGGAGGTTGATTTTGGGTCTGAAGATGGATAAGAGTTCTTGTGTTGTTAGGTTTTGGTTATGGGTTTGAAAGGAAAGTGGAAATAGAAAGAGAGGGTAGGTACCACATTAAAAATAAAGGAATTGAACTTGAATTTAAAATTTAAATTTTAAAACCTGTGAAATGTGACAAATATTAGTATACCAACGGGGGAGTGACTTATAACAATCCTTGCTTTTTTAACTCTTCGTAGATTTCCTTTGATAAAACATTTCCCTCTTTGTCTTCAACTTCAATTTCGTAATTGTTGGATTCCGCATGCTTGCTTGATTTATCCTTTACGTTCATGGTTCCCCAAAGATCCGTGGCTTCTTTGATACTCACAATGCCCTTGAATGCACTGGATGGTTCAATTCCAAGACAGCGTAAATGGTAGTTATGCGTGGTTTCGGAAAAATGTTTCTCAAACGTTCTTCTACCTTTGTATATCGTGTTTGCGCAGATTTCACATTTATACGTCATATCTAAACCTTGCAATTTATATAACCAATATGGCATCGGTAAGCCATCTGGTCCTAATGGCATATCAAATGATCCATTGATTATATCGTTTTTATTGGAAGATGTTTTGCTCGAATTTTCATTTGGTTTTCCTTCTTCTGGTTCTCCCACTGAGTATGCTGGCCTTTCATACACTTCTGTCATTCTATCAATCTCTTTTATTCTTTCGTCGCTTGTAAAGGCTAGCTTTCTCTCTAGGAATAGTTTAGTTTCTTCAAACTCTTTGCTTAACCAATTGAGGATTCGATGAATTTTGAATTCTATAAAATATTCATCATAGTATTTCTTATAGTTCTTAACATGATTCTTACCAGGTAAATGATTTTCAAAAACAGACTCTGTCTTAAACCATTTACCACATAATCTACAAAAATTTCCTTTACCTTGTTTCATAAGAGATTTTGTACATTCGATCTCATAATCATATTTTAATACTTCTGCCTCTTCTTCCCAATCTATAAGTACATATGTTTTTTTAATAAAACTTGTAAGATAGGTTTCTATTATCTCTAAAAACTTCAAATACCGTTCATTCTTCCTATCCATTGGTGGTTGTAAAATATATTGTGCTGAATCTAAGAATTTTTCAATTATTGACATATATTGCAATATTGAACAATTAGCAGATTTTATGACATTTAGCCAATTATTATAAAATCTTTCTAATTCCAAATACTCACCATATTGTTCATCTCGGGTAAAGTAGTCATTGATCTCCAGATATTTACATTTATCTGACAATATATTATTGGGTTTATTCTTAGAATTTGAACTTGTAAACATTGAATATTGAAATATTGTTTTGTTAATTGGCAATTGTTGATTATCAGAAACACTGTCTTCATATTTGGTGTCAATACTTCCCATCAGTTCCACATATCTATCTAATTTGATCCCATTGCTCTCCTTAGTAACATTAATTTCTCTAATTTCATTCAGTTTTGATCTAATATCTTTTATAAATTCATTAGTCTCATATTGTTGCAAAATAACTTGCTTTCTATCTCTCTTATGCTTTCTGGATTTATAGATCCTATTCGAACTTCGATTACTAACCACAGTCTTGGTTTCCTCACCTCCACCGTTAATATCATTCAATTGTTGTGAATAATAGTAATAAACCTCTGGATTCCTTTGAAACCTTTTAGAGATAGCATCTTCAATAACTTCGATGTCCTCTAAAAGTGATCTAACATTTTCAATATAACTCATCAGTAACTAACAGAACTCACTTAATACAACTGATTTGACACCAAATTTGACACCAAATTTGTTTAGCTTATCTTCCTCTCTTTATTATTTAAGTTACTTGTTTAAAGTACTTCAGTTAGATATATTGAAACTTTTCCAATATTTAAAATGAGATGAGATGAGATGAGATAATTGAAAAATCGATGTGTTTTGAATAAAGAAATGTGAATTGATTTGATTGAAACCTAACTAATCCATTCAAGTAGATAGCTTATTGATAATACTAGGGATTACTATTGTAGTGCTATTAGTTGCTGTTTCCTACCCTTTTGGTCTCTACAGGATGCTCCAAAAGTTTCTCTCATTAGCGAATAAAAGATGTTTAAATGGGTACAAATCTCAAGTAATACCTAGTAAGTTTGATAATATTATAATTGCCATGTCCTCTGGTGTTGATTCATCTGTTGCTGGTGCCTTGTTTGCTGGCTCCTATCCTAATGCAAGAGGTATCTTTATGCAGAATTGGTCTAAAGATGAAGCATCATTAGATGATGGTAAAGAAGCATGTTTCGAGAAAGATTGGAAAGATGTTGTTAAAGTAGGCTCACATTTGAATCTCCCGGTGGATTATATTAATTTTGAGAAAGATTACTGGATCGATGTGTTTGAGCCAATGCTAGATGTTTATAAAAGAGGGATGACACCAAATCCTGATATAAATTGCAATAGACATGTAAAATTTGGTAAGTTAGTGGACCATTTGAATTCAAAATATGGTGAAAACAATTATTGGTTAGTCACTGGTCATTATGCAAGGTGTTTAAAGTCAACCGAGGACTCACAAACCCATCTATTAAAAAGTTATTACAAGAATAAAGATCAAAGTTACTATCTATCGCAAATTAAAAATGGAATTCTTTCAAATTTAATATTACCAATGGGACATATGACAAAACCTGAAGTTAGAGAATTAGCTATCGAGGCAGAATTACCCACTGCCGAGAAGGCAGATTCCCAAGGTATCTGTTTTGTTAACAATTCACAACATGGTAAATTTAAAAATTTTTTACAAAGTTACTTACCTGAAAGTAAAGGTAACATTATAACGATCGACCCAGTCTCATCAGAGAAGATAATATGGGGACAACATCAAGGACTGTGGTCGTATACAATTGGACAGAAAATTGGATTATCAATGCCACAGGGTGACCCAAGATATAAAGGCACTTGGTTTGTATCAGAAAAACGTAATGACACTAATGAAATTGTAATAGTTAAAGGCAGAGACCACCCAAGTTTATTTCAAAGACAATTACAAGTGAAAGATTTTATACCGATTGGTATCAGCAAGGAACAGTTAATTAATCTGTGTAACTCGTCCACCAACTCTAATGAATTAAAAATACAATATAGATCATTACAAGATCCCATCGATGTAGAATCAATCAAAATCAATCCCAACGAAGATTCTTCAATGATAACCATAACCTTGAAAGAGTCACAAAGGGCAATGGTTCCAGGACAGTATTGCTGTATGTATATAAATGACAGAGTCCTAGGAAGTGGTATTATCTCTAAGACAAGAATCTGAATTAATCAATTTGGTTCAATTTCTAAAGTTTCTCAAACAATATCAATGAATCTGTAAATAGTTTAAATAGTTTAAATAGTTTAATCAAAGTAACGATTGTAATATTAAAATATATACATAAGTAAAGGTTATAGACACTGACTTGGCTTATAGGAATTGATCTTTTTGTATTTGTGTATAACATCTATATTTTTTGATTTAATGACATTCAGGATCCTTAATGTCTTGGATCAAGAAGAGATGCGGTAATTGTAAAATATATAAAGAACAAAGGATATATATGGATGTGTAGATTTAAGATGGATGAACAATGGGAAGTAATAGTTGAATATCTAAGAGCAGTGATAGCTGGATATATAAGTGCGTGTACAATTGTGTGTTTAAGATGGATAGTAATTGGAAGATTCAGATAACTTCCTTTAATTGTGGAAAGGCATTTCCACACAAGGAGAGAGATTCGATTGAAGATATCTCCTACAAGTTAATTGGTGATGGTATTGCTCAAGATATGTATATATTTGGGTTTCAAGAGTTTACTAAGATTTGGGAAGGTTCGTTTGGTAGAATTGTTAACTCGTATTTACAAGTGTTCGCCCTAATAACTCTAAATTTGTTACATGATAAATATCCTGATAAGAGATATAATATCTCAGGGTTAGGATCACTTGGAGCCATTGGTATTATAATAATAGTTGATGATATCATAAGAGTGAACAGGACTAAATATGCGTACTGCAAAAAGGGTATATTAGGGAGCAGCTTGAAAGGAGCCGTTTCCACTACAATAACTTGTAGTAAGAATGATAGGGAAGAGGAAACATTCTCATTTATCTGCAGTCATTTTAATGCCAACGAAGGTGAAACCAATATGAAATGTAGAATTGACGATTACAATTGTATTTTAACCGAAATTGACTCCCAATTAAGGTTGACAAATTTCAGGAATGGGCACATTTTCTTCTTTGGAGATTTGAATTTCAGACTCAACAAGTTTATCAACGGTAATGAAATCGAATTTAATAACGATTTAATCAGACAGAAACTACTAGAAAACCACGATGAATTAAATCTGTTAAGAAAGGATTCCAAAATATTTCAAGAGTTTGAAGAAGTACCAATTAAATTTCCACCTACATACAAGTTTTTAATTCCACAAGCTAAAGAACCCTTTCAAGAAAATTACTATAACCTGAAAAGAACCTCATCATGGTGTGACCGAATCCTCTTTTTAAAATATGAGAACCCTCAAATCACCATTCAGACAGATTACAAATCAATAAAAAGAACGAAAGAACTAGTATTCACTGACCATCAACCAGTGACATTAATGGTAAATCTACCAATTGGAACAACAACTAACAAATTAAAAATATTATCGACATATGAAGCAACTTTTACAAAATCAGTACCATTAATAGGAAATGTCACTGACTTCATCATAGGTTACACAGGATGGTACATAAACTTAGAATGGTACTATTTATTACTGTCGCTTGTAATCCTTTTCATAATTATTAAATTGTTATAAAATTAACATCATTTCTTATACTGTCAGCATTTCCTGTCATCACCATAAGCTCACATTTTTTTCTATCGATTTTTCGTCAATTTGGCGATGGGGGTTACTCCAGCGAAAATGAAAAATTTGACGAAAAATTGACAAAAATTGACTTAAGTTTTGATCTCATGAATAGAACAATAGAGACTGTTATTGATGATTTAAGGTTAATGTTGGGTATATTGTGTGGTAGATTATGTTATTGATTATTAATTCATTTTATTTCTTATTTCAGAGGATAATTTGTTATCGAATTCCTATAAATGTCTAAGGTGATATGGATGATAATTTAATTTCTGATGCTATGAAACAATCTTTTTATGCAAGAAATCATCATAGTGGTGATGGTGATGATGATGTCACATTAAACAAAGGTGACGGTGGTAGAGATATAGTTGATGGTGTTGTCTTAAAATCCAATAAAAGACCTCGAGATCCGGTACTGATGCCTTTGTCTTCTACAGGTGGATTTAAAGATCTTGTCGTGGATGGGCCCATGTCATCTTCGATTGTGATAGACGTCAATACTGCTAAAGTTTCTGATTTGGAATCAGAGACCAGCTCTTCTTCCTCTAATGAAATGTATATCGATGTTGACGATGATGATGGGTTTTTAAAGAAAGTTGTACAAAATGCCAAACCAGTTATTATTGGTAAAAATTTAAATACTGGGAAATTTATCATCCATCCTTTTGATAAAGATGAAACTTTGACTGCCAAATTTTATTTGAAAAAATTTGGTTTGCGTCAATTTTTAGAGGCATATCTACCCGATGAACTTACTTCTTTGCATTTATACTATTTAATTAAGCTATTAGGCTATGAATTAAAAGATCAACAATTATTAAATCTCATTAGTAGCATAATTGACGTTTCCTTAGATTACAACTCTGCTGATGGAGTTGATAATAAAAGTTTAATAATTTATAATAATTTTAACGATCCTCTTAAAAAGGAATTCATCGCAAGAATTTTAAAAGATTTTCAATCCGTTATATCAAGGGTTATACATACCCCTTTAAGAAGACCTCATTATATGACAATTGAGAAATTTATTGCTAAATTAAAATCTGCTAAAAAAATTATCGTGTTAACTGGTGCAGGTATATCTACTTCATTAGGTATCCCAGATTTTAGATCTTCTGAAGGTTTTTATTCAAAATTGAGAAATTTGGGGTTGGACGACCCACAAGATGTCTTCAATTTACAGATATTCAGAGAGAATCCTTCTGTTTTTTATAATATTGCATATATGGTTTTACCACCTGAAAATATTTTCTCTCCATTGCATAGTTTCCTAAAATTACTTCAGGATAAAGATAAATTATTAAGAAATTATACACAAAATATAGATAATTTAGAATCATACGCTGGTATAAAACCTGAAAAGATGGTTCAATGCCATGGTTCCTTTGCAACTGCCTCCTGTTTTAGCTGTCATTTAAATGTTCCAGGAGAGAAAATTTTTAATAGCATTAGAAAAGTTACTTTACCACTTTGTCCTGTTTGTTATGATAAAAGACAATATCTTTTCAGTATTGGTAATAATAAAAAGGATCAAGAAATTGAAAATGAAAGTGATAATGAAAAAGAAAGTCACGATAATAAAGAAAATCATAATGATGATGACAATGATGACGATAATGATGCATTAAATTCAAGTTTGAGTGAAAGTTCATACTCGGATCCTGATATGTATGTTGCAAAATCATTTGGCGTAATGAAACCAGATATTACCTTCTTTGGTGAACCATTACCAGACAAATTCCATAATTCCATCGAAAAAGATGTAAAAGGATGCGATCTTTTGATATGCATCGGTACTAGTTTGAAGGTTTCTCCGGTGTCTGATATAGTCAATATGGTACCACAACATGTCCCACAGATTTTAATCAATAAGGACCCAATAAGGCATTGCAACTTTGATTTATCATTATTGGGATATTGTGACGATATTGCTGCATATATTTCTAAATTATGTGACTGGAAAATTGATCATCCAAAATGGAATGATTTATCAAAGCAAGAATTCAAGAATGAAAAGTTGCAAGAAGGCATGTATAATATATCTAAATCAGATGCTTGAAATTTTTTGAGAGAATTTAAGTCTAATAATGTAAAAGATTAGTTTCTATTAAAACTTACAACCATATGGTGATCTGATGTAAATAACTTCATAGCATTAAATAATTATTAAAGTCAAAATAAAACTATTTTTACTTCCTGATAAAAAAATTTTATCATGTCGATCAATATCATTCAAAAAACATTGTAAAAGTTGATAGCATTTTATTAGTAATTGTCAATCAAATAGCATTTACTGACGTCCCAACTTACCTCTGTCGTTGTCGTTTCTGTTTGATTAAGCAACTCTTAAAATCAGTTACCACTACGCTTTTTATAATATTTACCTCCTTCCGTTTTGGGAATTTTAACGAATTTCTGATCTGATGAGAAGATGCCTAGAAAATCAGGCCATCAAAAATTAATTAAAGTTTAGATAAAGTTATATTGCCTCATGAGTCGCTATACCAAGAAATATTGTAATACATGAACGGTAGATATCTATATTTAACAAATTTTATTGAATAAAAAGATTTCAACCCATCAGATAGAGTTTTGGACTAGTTCTTTTAAGTGAAAAACCCAAACTTTTAGTTGAACAGGGCAGACTGTTCATTCAGAGCCTTTCTTAATATGGTAGTATACGATACAAATACAAGTGCTCAGCGAGTTGGTTTTCCACATACAGGTTCGAAAGAGCAGATGTATAATTATCCAGATGAATCCAATATCCATTTAAAGGTCAATTATCCAAATAAAAATCGACAAAGGGGAAAAGTACAGGAACAACTCAAGACAGAGCCAATTTCAACTATAACCAACACAACAGATGAAAAGATGATCCCTATTTTACCTGTTTTACCTCCCCAAACACATTTTGGTGGGAAAAAGCTTATTCCTAAAAACAAACACCCACGTTATGAAAGGAAATCATTAGACAATGTATTATGTGAACAAGTTGCTAAAGAGAAGATAGCTGGCCAGCATGTACTGCAAAAATCAGATCTTCAAAGACTAGAAATTAAACAAAATAATTTTAATAATATTCCAAAATTAAGCCATAGAAAGGATGTCTCTTCAATAGATTCAGGTAATATTGCTAGTGAAAGTGGATCTTCGAATTATTATTACATCCATAAGGAATTAGAAAATGCAGAAAGAGCAGTACATAGACCACCATCTCCAGAATTAATTTCAAGATCTCTGAATCTCAATGTTAAAAAGGACCTTACATCAAATGATAAATGGGTTGATGATATGTCTGTTAGTTCTTCCTCCCCAGTATTGCTGCAAACAACTAATATTAAAGTCAAAAAAGGTATTGATCCTTTGCATATTGAATCCTCAAATATCACACCTCTTGTTCCACCAAGAAGTAGACATAGACCAATAAGTATTACAGGAATCAAGAAAGAATTGGATGAAATAGAGAACCAACTACTTGAAGAAATAAATGAATTAAGTAATCCATCTGAAACAGTTTCTCTAAATGATGAAGAGATAAATGAAACCGGCAAAACTCAGTCCAAAAATGAACATAAACTAAATATACCAAACCATCATAACAAATCAGATTATAGGACAACTATTAATAAGAAACTTCCAAATAATGGTAAACCTGAGAATAATAATAATAATGATAATGAGGAAGTGATGGAAGCTATAAAGCTAAAGGGAGAAAAAGATGAATTTATGAAGAATGCTGCATTATTCCAATCTCAAAATATATTACCTTCATTAGACATTGATACACTTACTAGTTTAGTTAACTTTGAAAACGTAAGCCCGGTTGGTACAGAATTCGAAGAAATTGGAATGGATAAAGAGGAAAATCGTATATTACAAACATTAATAGAGGCTTTATCAAAATTAACAGGAGATATGATGTTAAATCCTAAACTATATAATGAAAGTGTTAATCGAATCAAAAAAGCCACCAAAACACTGGACGGTTTTTAAAAGAAACACTAATCAAAATTAAAGACATTGCATTTATTCCATAGAAACATCATAATACGATACCAATAAATAATATTAATAACACTAATATATGTTTACATAATTTATTTATTCAATAAGTAAAATTCAATTAATGTTTAATTACATACTCATCAAGTGTTCAGTATGGTGACCTTTAAATAGTTCGTAATATCCGGTCTAACCTTTAAAGTATAAGAATCAGGATAACTATTAAAAACTTAACAAGTGCAAAGCAAGAAGATGAAATGTGTATAGCTTTCGATCTAGTAAGTGAGAGGGATAGGTAATACGATAGTTACGATCATATCCAATTTGTATATTATGGATCTAGGCCATTTAGCACAGCTGTGCTATAATATGACGGAATCATATTTACAGATTACAAATGGAACAGATGTAATAAATGGAACTCAAGAAGCAATAAGGATAACTAAAGATCAGCTGTTATTGGATATATTTAAGAAATGGAATCCTTTTAATGATGCACTTTCATTTTCATTTAATGGTGGTAAAGATTGTCAAGTATTATTATTGTTGTATTTGAGTTGCCTGTGGGAATTTTTCATGTTAGGTGTTAGCTCATCTCAATTCGATAGGAAATACCATAAGTTCCCTTTAACCAAACTTCCCAGTGTTCTTATATCTCAAGAAGAAGTGTTTTCTACAGTTGATTCGTATATTGCTGAAAGCATTGATAGATATAATTTAGATCTATACGAGTCCACTCCTCAGAATGGGAACCATATTGATATGGCTCAAGCTTTCGAGAACTATTTGAACCTATATCCAAGTACAAAGGCAATTGTGATAGGTGTGCGTTATACAGATCCCTTTGGAGAACATTTCAAACCATTGCAGCCGACAGATTCAAATTGGCCATATTTTCTAAGGGTCCAACCTATATTACATTGGAAGCTAGAAAATATATGGAGTTATCTTTTATTCTCCGGAGAACCAATATGTGGCATGTATGCTAAAGGGTTCACATCGATTGGAGATATTGATAATACATTGCCAAATCCATATCTGATAATTAATAGCACTAATGTCAAACCACAATTTTTATTCTCTAAAGAAGTCGAAAGATCGTTTTATCAAGATAAAAATGCTACAAATGAAATAAATATTACACCATTGCAACCAATAGATATTAAATTAATAGACTCATTTGAAGATGATTATTATCCAGGCTGGTTCCTTGTAGATGATGCAAAAGAAAGGGCAGGTAGAATCAAAAAGCAGAAGAAAAGCACCAAAGCTTGAATAAGAAAAGGACCTGAGATACAATGTTTTGTTTTCAAATAAATAAGAACAAATAATGAACTAATTTACTTTGTTTATTAACATTTATAGACCTTCATATAGATATATTTTAACCATTTACTATACATTTATTCATTCATCATGGTGATATCTACAATACGACTTAATAACATA